TAACAAGCTTTATGATTCCAAAAGCCCCGAATTTGGCAACAGCAACTTAAATGAAGCTGTGCAAGATAGCGATATATTTTGAACAATACACCACCTAGAAGAAATGTTCCAGAAATTTGTTTGCTTTCAAAGCATTCTCTTATCGTTATTAATTTGAGTATTCTCTTTACATTTATTAAAGCTGGATCATTTAGAATTCGGGATCAAATTGGTGGTACCTTCAAATATCGTAGACCAATTTTTGGTCCTGAGCCAATCACTGACTGCCTTTATTAGCACAATTATTTTTATCACCGAAAGCTTTTCCTTTGCACCCAGGTATTGAGTTTTAAAGGTCTTCATTTCATTAGTCATCCTGTGGCATGACAAGGCACTTTGAGGAAAGAAAAATATTTTTGCTAATAGAAATATAACTTTTCAAATGAACATGGCAAATCATTCATTTATATCAAAAACAATAGTAGTCCTAAAAACGAGCCTTGTGTGACACCAAAAATAATCCTATTGATGCATGATGTTACACCATTTATTTGGCAAAATTGTTTTTATTTTTCTTAATGAGAGGCGAACCACACAAGTTTACAGCCAATCATGACATATTTTATACGTTATTTTGAAAAAAAATCAAGATGAACAGTATCGAACTCTTTGTTTAATCTTCAAAGATCACGGCATTGCTATATCAATTGTCCATGTGAAGATATCAGTCATAAAACCCGTTTACACTTAAAAAAAGAACGGGACTCTTTGGTTTCGTGCCTGAAAAACGACGATAGCCCTTGCGTTTACACTAGGTATCTTGGTTCCGTGCTAGTTTGTGAACGGCTCCGTTCTTCTTTGGTTTCGCTAAGATATGAAACTCTTCGGTTCCATTACTAAATCGTGCTTGTTTTCTCTCGTGTAAACGGTCAGTAACGGAACTTTTTTTGGTTAAGATTGAAAACGGGGCTTTATCTAGGATTGGGGTGAGGCTTTCTTAAAATGTCAGACGTCATGGCCACTGCGCTGCGCATGCTTCGCATGAAGGTTCCATTCTTATTATATTCAAGTGTAAACTGGCTCAAATTAGGTTCCGTTCCCTTTTGCTACAGTGTAGACTCAATGAAAAATAGAAGTATTGTAACCAAACAAGAACGAAACCAAAAGTTCAGTTCTTTTTTCTGTAGTGTAAACAGGGTCATAATTACTCTTCAACAGGTATGTTACAACGCGGCGCAGATTCATAAAATCTAAATGTTTTCATATATTGACCCATTTTCATCAAGATATGAATCTTATTTTTGTAATTGAGCTTTTTGGGTGTTTGGTGGGTGGGAGGCAAAACTGATATTGGTAGGGAACTTAGTTAAAGAAGTGAAAGATTGAAGATGTCAGGAAGATTCCCCCCTAAAATGTGCATACAAACTCATTACTAACATAGCTGGCCTTATCCCTGAAAAAATTGCAGACTACTCTTTTTCCATGGTTATCGCTAGGAAAATGTGGTTCTGAATGTTACAGAATATGCCCAGGCGTAGGAGACATGGGGACTGGGAGAGCTGTCCCCTTATCAGGCAAAATATATCCCATTTCAGGCTCCATTGTGGGAGGGGGGGGGGGGTTTCTGCTTTGATGAAGCAATAATATTCGGGCAAGATCCAAATTTGATTTCAATAGGCTTCTGGAAGCAGCAATACCTGTCTATGAATTCTGGCTTAACAGTTACTTCATTACTTCAATTTAGATAAAATTACAAGGAAAGTCACAAATGCTACAAAACAAACGTGATAACATCAACTCGATAGATAGTTTTATTCCGCTTATTCAGAAAAAAATGCACAGACAATCTTTAGTTTCCTACTATCAAAAGATAAATTATCGAAAAATTTTCTGGGTTTAAGTGATGTCGGACTTGATCTGGCTACATTTAGAAATGTATATACTGGATTGTCGATTCTATATTTACGATTTCAAGGAGCTTATTATACCACAGTCAGATGAGCAAATATGTGCAATCAGTATTTTGTAGCTAGAAGCAAGAAATCAGCAGGATTATGAAAGGCAGCGAATTAGGGTTCGGTGTTTTAGGGGCAATAAGTCCCCTCCCTTTAGTTTGATTTACCAACCGTCATTTTTTTATCATCTAGGACATGTGAAGTACTTCCGTCATCTAGGACTTGTGAAGTACTTCCTTTTACTCTTTTCCTTCACGTACCCTTTTTGGATCGGGGAAGCTGGATCAGTTTTCAGCATCCAGCCGCTTAATTTAAGCATTAACACAACAACAGAAACTGGCAAAAATGACCATTTGTATCCGTGGCAGTCGTTTTATAACCCACCCAGTCTTTTTGTATAAAATTTGAAAATTCCTCCTTTTTACACGTCTTAAAAGAGAGATATATAACCTTTTTAGTAAAAGCAATTAAATAAGAACAAGAGACTCAAAACTGGTAAAAAGTTAAAAAAAAGCCGAAGCTGAGCTACTGTAAAATTTAATTTTTGGACAAAGCTTTGAAACCCCTTTAGAAACAAGAAGTTTTCGCCATCTAGGGACGCTTTTTTATGAATTTTGAATTGTTTTCGGCAAATAAAGGATGTCTCACTCACTTTCTTGGCAAAACAACCCAGCCTCACGATTAAAATTAAGAGCAACCAAGCCAGGGACGCCGGAACGACCAAGGGACAACGGGAGGGGCAGGGTTAAGTAAAAAGAACGTTTGAAAGATAATTCCCTGCTTCTACTTATTATGTATTAATTGTCATATCATTTCGTATCTCGAATCTTGGCTAACTTTTGGCATGATAGTTTTTTTTAAAAATTTTGATAAATTTCGTCATGAATAAGGCCCAACAGTCAAAATTTCACAGGAATCTTTCTGGTAATTACAAAAGGCTAATGTCAAGGGTACTTATATTAGAAGGGCCCTTTGGCCCCTCTTGCCCCTCCTATCAAAAGGCAACAGGGGCGGCTGACCCCCTGCGCCCCCTTCATCGATCAGGTGTCCCTGAGCGAAGCTGGACTTCAGTATGCTGAACTTAATAATAAAAGGAGTGTATCCTAGTTTTTGCGCGCAGGCAGGGACGCCTGCACAAGATTAGGGCAGGAGGAGCAGTGTTGGTGCCGAAGGCAAATCGTTGAATTTTTTCTAGGTGGGAGGGGGGCGAGGGTGGGGTAATATAATAAAATATTAACTTGAATATGTGCCACCCATACAGCTGGGTTTTTTACCATCAAAGATTCTAAACATAAAGAAAATGTTGACGAAATTATCCATAAATGAAAATGGTTATTAAATGGCCTTGTCACTCAATATTCACAATATTTGGTTTTATAAAAATCATGGCTGTTATAAATGGGTTGGTTGTAAAATTTGATTGCCCGCTAAGTTTTTATACTGATCTACCCATCCTCCTTAGGTTCCGCATTTTTTGTTTATCATTTGATTATCTTTGCCGCTCTTCCTTTGTGGCCGACCTTGTCACAGACAAACTTTTCATTCTCTGCATTTTTGTGCTGCTGTTATCATCTTCCTAGTATTTTCTAATAGATATTAACATAACGAGAGTAGTCAAAGTGGTCATCATATTTCAGGGCATTTCGTGCCCCTCCAGCCCCCCTTGTGTAGGCGCCCCTGCGCGCAGGGCATCATACGCATCATAATTTTCACCCTTTAACAAAGTCCCTGTCTAGATCAAATAGCATCATTATTTTAAATTTCATGAAATTTATTTCCAATTTAATTTTCCGACAAACCGAGTGTTATGCCCATTTTCTTTCGCAAGACAGCATTTCCAGACTTATTTATAGAGGTCTTTCAGCTGTCTTGCTGCTTGCACACAACCGCTTATGCATACGGGAACCAATCTGTATAGACTTTTGATCCCCAGGTTTTGTCAAATCTGCATGTGATCAAGTACCCCCGTCTGTGAAAGCCCCTTGATCGAAGCACCACAATTATATTTTGTTATAAATAATGAAACTTTGAAACCCCTTTTTCGGATCCCACACTGACCAAGCACAGCAGATAAGTGAAAAAACTTTTCGCTTTGTGGGGATAATAGTTGACGTAATCTCCACAAGCATTGGGTCAAATAACATTATGCAGCTCCAAGACACATGCAATATGGGAGCAGCGGCACAAATCAGGCAGGAATTCTTAAAACCTTTGTTAAAATACAATTACTGGTCTGACAAGATGCTTTTTAAACAAAAGCTCATCCACCAAAGCATGCATAATTCAAAAGCTCCCAGTTTTTGGTTTGCTATAATCAGGCTGCAATCCAACTCGACAAAAAGTTATTGGGGTTCAATTCACCGAGAAATTTCTGCGCTTTTGTCAACACGCCAAAATCGCTTTTATCATACCTGAATTGTGCGGTTAGTTTTGAATTTAAAACCGTCTGATTCCTTTCAAAGACATTTCCGGTTTTTGAAGATCCAAAATGCAACTGTAACTTCTGATGCTATTCTTTTACGTGGACTCCCAGGCAGGTGACGGGTAATATTTGGGGCATGCCCATCTTATTGTTTTTTTGCGATCACAGGGTTTTCCCCAATCGATCGACTTAGCATATAAAATTAAAGTTAGGATTTGAATCGTTTGTCGACTTCTTGTTCTATGACTTTTAAATCAAAATAAAAAAATTATCTTTTTAAAAGGAACATGATCAACCGCGGAAGAAAACATAATATTGAGAAAATTTCAAGACCAAATTTTATGTACGCTGAAAATAAAAATTGAAATTTTAAACCGACAAATGCAAAGTTTAGTGATCTGTCATTCTTTCTAATTGACTTTGGTAAGAACATCGTGCCGTATTATTTGGAAAAGCGAAAAAGCCGGTCAGCCGACCACTTCCCTTCCTTCCCTCCACTGTCGCTTCAGCTCTGAACAGGTTCCCATGTGATCTGTCAATTTTCGTTGAACTCCGTCTTTCCCCAAGCACGTTGTTTTACAGGTGTTGCTTTCGGCAAGCAGTTTTTCAAGGAAACTGCGAAATGCATTGAGAGGATACAAGAAAGTTCATTGTCAAGAGAGAAATTATTACAAAGGAGAAGAGTTAAAAGTGTGATGTGAGATCTGCCATAATAACCCATCTGGCAGTTTATGCATTATAATGCGCGCGAACCGAGGCATTGAATGGCGCACAATGGAAGCCGCGGGCGCAACATATGCGCGCATCTGCGCATGGCATTATACAGTAGCAAAACACTCGCACCGCACAACAAAGCAGTACGACGGATCACCCGTTCAGCACGACACTATGATATCGAACATTTACAAAGTTCAGACAGGCGTGAATTATTCGTGACCGCGACAAAAGCAGGCATTCAGGCAGTGAACGTCCTCAGCAGTGAGCCATTTACCGGTTCCGTGGCACTCTCTCATGCTCATATAGTGTCTACACGGCAGTTTTATGCGGCAACAAAACAGTTTAGGGGCAGACATTTCGAGGGATTCTGTTCCTAAAATGGCAGCTATTGTACCACAAGTGCAGGCTAGCCCCAAGTCAAATGGCAATCCAGTTGATTCAAGTGAAATTCCAGACACGGCCAAGTCCAATAAAGTGGTGAGGATTTATTCTTCTCGTTGTTTTCGGTTTTCTAATACTGTTTCGGTGCTATTTTCAAACTATACCGAATGCATTTTAAGAGCTTGTTAAAAGACGGCAATGATATCGGCAAGATGTCATCATGGATACCAGTAAAAAGTTATTATTTCTTGCTACTGTCCTCAAAGTTTTACCAATAAAACTCAATGTTTACATATTATTCGGAGGTATCAATTTTTAACCTTTTTACTGGGGGAAATTGCAACTTTTTCATTGAAACTGTGACTGCGTACTCGTCTATTGTATTATCTCATCCTGTAAATACCAAGAAGGCAAATGTTTCTATTTGCTTTGAAAATACCGAACTTCGGAAGGATGGACTTATATTCTTGTATAGTCTCAAACGATGCCAGAAAATAGGACGAAAAATGCATATGCGAAAACCCATCAAGGGCATTGTCTACAAATCCAGCCTAGAGCGAGGCATTTTCGACAAGTTTTGTTTTCCTGTTCGACGTGGAAATCCCTACCTGTAGAGGGCATTCATTTTGTGGTATATCCACCCGAAATTACTAATAAATTTCTTTTATGCGATTGCTTTTTGGAAAACTATTATTTTTCCGGACAGACTTTGAAAAAGAAATATCGTATTACACAGTGATCCTTTCCAGGTAAGGGACTTAAAGATTTTGAAAAATTGAAACTGTCGCATTTACGTGGCGAGAGAATCCAACCATTAAATCCGTGTTATTCATGGTTTCAGAAAGTCACAATTGCCTTTTGTATGCTGCATTCATCGCCTTCAAATGCCGCTGTTGTAAGCGTTACAAAAAGAGGCAGCATATTTTGGTCGCATATTCTCCCTGGATGGCGATCTTACCGCGAAAGGCAAATGTAAACATTAAAAATCCGGGGGTATTGTACACGCTACGACTGCCTGCTGCCAATAAGATGAAAAATTTCTATCTATCTTATGATAAAAAATAACCAATGGGATTTTCTGTGAATCAGTTATCATTCATGTCGTTACCAAGTTATGACAACTTCTTAAAGTGTCAAAATCTGAATTGACATCAATGAAGTCTTTCTCAGCAGAGATCAAATATTTTTAGAATAAAGGGCATTCTTACATCTTGAGTTCATAAGAAATGGACAAGTGATCAACTTATCTTATCATTGTAGCATCCTTTTTTGTACCCCTCTATAAAAAGACAATGCCAAGAAACCTTTTCAAGAATCCTTTATGCAAGGGCTTCAATTTTGCCATAAATTATAATAAAAGTGGCTTGTTATATTTGCTATATATAATGATTCATTGAAATGCTTCTGCTGCAATTTTCGATACTTTTCCATTGCAATTACTTGAGAGCCTTCAAACCCATCCCCAAGATGGCTTGATCATTTACTGTGCTAAACAGACTTGTACATGAATTGCCTTCAAGTTTACAGCCTACTTCACCATGCGCCAAAATTTCAAGGCTGCTTTTAGTAGCAGGAAGAAATGGAGGTTACTGTTCCCCGTTACATCTCATGGGGGGAATGACACACCCTTACTTACCTGGAATGTGATTTGCTTGGGGATCAGATAGTGATAAAAGAGCGCGTCTAAAGTTATGCGTATCTGACGAAAGAAATTCTTTGGTTCGAATTTCTAGTTGCACTGGATATGATAAATATGACTTGGTCGTTCTAGTCTGATAACTGCCTTTTTCTTGACCTTGAGGTGAAAATCCTGCGCATCATTGGTTTTATCCTTTACCCATTTGGTTAGGAATAAAATAAGCCTCTCGAAAGTTTTCAAGAGAGCAAAAAGGAAATTTTGTTGAACGATATGCTATACATCATGAGGGAATTTTATGATATTATAATATACTAAAGGAAACAAAACTGCTGTTCTGATTTTAAGTGCGATCTTGATTGTCTACATTTGGCCACCTTTACCTGGATATTTTTATGTAAAACTGTTTTATGTATCGTCTGTTACAGTTTCGAGAACTGCCTCTTAGCCAGCTGTCGCCTGAGTGATATATCCTTGAGAAAATGCCACGAAATTCTATTGTTTTTGGTCGTTTCATTAAACGCATTAGAATCAGCCGTGGTCAGGCCTATCGCAGGCATAAGGCATCACTGTAAATTTGTGATAAGATTTGTGGAGCAGCATAAGCAATGTTTTTTTAATTATTCATGGAATAATTCAATTTTATAGTAGTGCTTAGCTTTAAACAGTTGCTACATTATGCTGCATGCATGTCAATCAGATTATGAAGCTGAAGTCATGTAACTTTATCCGATAGTGGTTTTCCTTTCAGGCCGAAGCAGACAGTCCAGGCATTTGCGTGAATGTTTAGGCCATTCCAATTAATTGACACCGCAAAGGCGTCTAAAAACCAGGTTGCCAAGAAATATTTTTCAGATTAACATAGCATGAAATTCTATTTGAGCTATTCAAGCTCCCAGGTCTATAGTGAAGTATGAAAGCTTTACAGCATGCCACCATCTCTTATGGCATATTGATTGGTACAGGATACAAAGAGAATGATCGCCGTCATATCCGATGGGTGGGTGCAATCGAGGCGTATTAAAGCCTTTAAAGCTGACCTTAGTTGACGTAGTCAGTGAGCTTTTGAATCCATTCCAGGAAGTGCACTGTCAAGCATCCAAAACTGGCTATCTGCTAAATTTGTTGCCTCCTACATTACTTCAAACAAATCATGTTTTTTTTATCTTTTTTTCTAACGTTCAGTTATGTGATGAGCTAGATCCCGGCCAGCGCGTGTCTAGTTTCATCTTATGCTAATTTCTTTGATTATTGACATTTTTCGTTTCTTGAACTCAGACAGTGTTTCATATTATTGCTTAACCCTTGCTTCAGAACATACTTATTTGTGTCGGGTATGATCTTCGTTATTTATCCAACAAAAAGAGTCTTAGGGAAGGTATTGCCAGGCAGTCTGGGTTTGGAGACCGACCGCGACCGGTCTCAGTACGTAGTGAATGTATACTGCAGCGAAACGAGGACGCTTACTGGTGGGTATATTCAGAAGCAGAATTCCTGTAAGAAAGAATGTTTGATGTGGATCTGCATTGCTGGAGATGTGTAAATTGTGCCCCTTATTTTGAATGTTTATATGAAAAAGAACATAGATTCCTAACCTATGTTCATCCTCCCTCTGCAAATAAACCAAGTCAGTGAGGAGGGGCGATAAATTTAGACTTTTCCTAGCCCCCCCCCCTGAACCCTCTTTATCTACGCCACTGAACCAAACTGTAAAGGTTTTTTTTCAAAAACGGTGGAAACTAGGCATCTTCTAGATGTGGTAAACAAAATCTTTTGTTTTTCAATGACCAATCCTTGGAAACAGTTCAGGCGAATCCTTGAAAAGCTTTTTCTCCCACTCCCTCTTCGCTGCTTCACGATCAAAAGCTCCAATAATGACAAGAATCAGGAGTAGGATATCAAGTATTTTATTTAAATGTTAACTGATATGTAATATTGGGAAGGTGACCAAGTCGACAGTGCTAGCAGCGGGTAAGCCATGAATATGGGTTGATTATACGTGGCAAAGCGATAGGGAAAACACCATTGCATGCTGGCATGACCCTGGCATGCTTCGAAATCAGCTTTGCAAATCACTTGGGTATCGCTGTTTTTAATATCCTGATTCTCTTGCGCTATACCTTCGCTAGTAGGTAGATTTCCTGCCTTGCAAGTGCAGAGCGGCTGGCAATATTTCAGAGTCAAGCGACCTAGGTCTTCTTGCATCTCCGGGTTCCTGTTGCGTTAAACATAGCAGTATGTGATTATTCCCATACGGTTGTCGAAACTCACTATTTTCATGCAGTGGATAGGGCGAATGCAATGTCCGGCCGGTAATGCAACATTTCGTGACCAACTACAGAATCTTAATCGTGTAAGCTATTTGCTGTAATTATTGCTTCAAAATTAATAAAAATATCAAACAAGTAATAAAAACCAACAATGAACAGATCTTAAAAGCACACTATGTCACCAAACTTGTGCTACCAAGAGGTTACTAGCACCAAGGCTGTCACATAACTCATTATTATTATCATCATTCTTGTTGTTATTATTGTTTTTCATTTGTTTTCTGGTGGCAATAATTAATTCGTTGTACCTATAGCTAAAAGCTATGAGCCAATTGAAACCGACATTTAAAAAGCTAATTTGCAATTTCAACATCAAAATAATGCAATTATGAAACTTTAAATAACAATTATGTTTCAAAATACAATGCAATATAAAAAACCCAAAATATTTCTAAAATATTTGCACAATCTGCAAATGCAACTTTCTCCGTGCCATTATGTTATATTGTCTTACCAATAATTGTCAAAATTTCATTTCATCATTCCAAATTCACATACAAATTTCGATAGGGCTTTAAATATTTTCACATTTTTCGTGTAATGTAACTTGTCACTTTATCAAAACTGTCATGGTCACCGCAAGCTCGATACGTTATCATTCAGATGTATGACTTTTGCTTTCACCAACTTCTATTTTGCTATCCAACATAAGACTGTAAGACCGTTCGTGCTTCTCGTCTGACTATCTTTGAATAAATATCTAGGAACGATGAAAAACTTTTTGAATAATCATACTTGCTGCATAATCACCACCATTTTTGTCAGTGCAATTTCTTGCAAATCATCAAGCCTGTGAGCGAAACAGACTTTTCACATCTTCAAAATTATAAAAATTTTTAAGCTGTTAATGTCATGTACCGCTAGGTATCTGTCCAATTTATGAAACCTGAAGTATTACTAAGCGGTATCAACTATCAAGATTATTGTATCATAAAGTGCGTAATATTATCAAGTATTCTTATCAATTGTCACGTATCAGCCATACACCATCTATGTAACAAGCGAGTCTAACGCGTAATCAACTCAGGTATCTCTGTAAGTTTGGAGATTATTAAGACTGTCATATCAGTTTGTCGTTAATTTGTTCATGTTGCTTCTCAAGAAGTATTGTTTTGGATATCATCAAGCGCAAAATATTGTCAAAATATCATCTCAGCTGTCAATATTTGAACAAGTCTGTCAAATTACCTGTCCAGGATATTTTGAAGCCTGTTATTATATTTCGCTGTCATTTTATCAAGCCTGACTTACCTCTACGCCTATCGTGTGATTATGTTTTTATTGTTTTCAAGCTTTCTAACAACGTACCTACTAATGAAACATCATTGTATCTCTTGTATAAAGTTCAACTTTTCTTTTTGCTCAATGCATCCTTCCATGACTTTAAATCTATTTCCTGTCAATTTTAAAGTAGATTTCGGGGGAAAAGACGATATTATGAATTGGTGCGCAAAATTAGGATATCAATTTTTTCAATTCTTTGTTTATTTACTAGCAGCTTTAAGATTTACTTTTATGAATTAATTATAGGATGATTTATGCTCGAAAGAAGAAGCTTTTATTCTCAGCTGTCATCAGAGCTTTCTTTAGCAACAGTTTTGAAATTGCATACATAGGCCATGGGGCAGAATCGAAGGAGAAAGCTTTGAAACCCTTTTAAGTTATATCTTAAATCTGCCATTTTAGCTACGCAAAGTCAATGAAAGTTCTACCATAGATAAACAATCATGAGTCATAAATAACTCAGAAAGAAACTTCCCGTTTTGATTGCTCTTAATCTTCAGGAATTACACAACGAACGTACATCTATATCTATCTTATGTGAGAAATAAGGAAGAAAACTTGTCATGAGAAAGCATTTCATCATTATGATATACAAGACTTTGTCTTTTCACAATTTTATTTCTTATTTTCAAACGATGCTGTTTATCTGCACTGAACTGTTTTGTTTTTCCAAGCCTTTTAAGTGATAAGCGCAGTTTTACAAACAGCTGTAATAAATTGACAGTTAAAGTTCATAATTCGCAAGTGAATTAATTACTATTCTGCAATCTTCCTTGGTAACTGGACGATCCACTCAATTCCATTAGTCTTTTCAGTGAGAAGTTCCCATGTTTTTATTTGTTAGAGAACAGAGTGTCTAGGTTTTATCTATAGATTGGCTATGGCAGTTTTAGAATAAGAAACCACAGATAGTTTATGGAATCTATTGGCCATTGTAATCAACGGACTATGCTGAATGACTGACCAGACCAGTTGTCTTCGACTGAAATGTTGGGGTGATGCTCAGTTTTGTATGATCATGTTAATTTCAACAGTTACTTCCGCAATGTATGTTTTCGGCTAAATCAGCATTTTGTTATAAACATGCTTGCGTCACTCTGTCATTTGCAGCAAAAGGTATATCGTTGATTTGATGCCCAAGTTACAATAAACTGTCATCTTGCTTATACTAAATTCAATCAGATGTGGACTTTGTTGCTTTTAATGAAGCACCTTAAAATTGCACCTTAAAATGGGGGAAGGGACACAATAGTTTTGCAAATGGACGTGACTGTATCCAAGGACCAAGATGCCGGGGGAGGAGAGTCCCAAAAAAACATACAGAGTATTAAAATAGTTTTATTTTGTGAAATGTGGTTGTTTCTACACTTATTTATTAAGGATGGCCATATCCGCCCCCAACAGAAAGTTCTATGTCGGTCTTTCGTTGTATTTCAAATGTAGATACTGTGGACTTCAAGCAAACTAAAGTTACAATGTCTTATTTTTATGTAATAACAATTTATGGAATATCATTGAAGACTTTTTGTCGATCTTTGCCTAGGGGTATAATGCTATGAAGAAACCAACAGACACTCTCGGTCTCCATTTTGGCTAAATTAAAATTAGCAAAAATTCTGAATTGGTTATTTGTCATTTTCCAGCTTTGGAAGAAGCGTTCGGCCCCCTTCTTTGCCCCTGGAATATAAACTTTTTAAAGGGGTACCAGTGGTCAGGGCCGCCTGCGAAAGACAAGGTACCCTGCCAGAAATTTTTTTTTGCTTTCGCGTCGTTTAGGTTAGCTTAAATGCGTTGGCCCCTAGATCTTGTGGTCCTGGAGCAATGCACCCCCTGCCCCCTGCCCTCCTGTGCAGTCCTGCCAGTATTGCCGTTATTTTTATCAAACCATGCAAGTCTTTTTGGTCTTGTAAGTGCATGCGATCTGCTAAAAGGGTGCGGATGGATTGAATTCAACTCTGCCACAAGGAAACATTTATCTCAAAGTAACGCAGAGCTTTTAGATACTTCGGCTGCTTAACATATCCAACACGCATCTTCTTACGAGATGGATGCAGTTGACCTGGATGGCCTGCAATCAACTCTATCGACTGTCAAGTTGGTTTTCGTAACGAGATTTGCTGATGGCCTCGTAATAAAGATAATCAAGGAAGGGAGCTTTGGAGGGTTTTTAAATTTTATGAATGAATTCATGCAGTTCACAAGAAAAAAAGGCGAAAAAAGCCGCGATATGCCCAACGTTTCATACATTATTTATTTTTCTAAATTCACAGTGTTAATCACTACCCACTAGCTAATGCCTCAAAGAGCTAATCCCAATATGGTCATGGCGAAGGTTATCGCGTTCTTGTTGAAGCTAAAACGAAGTTAGGCTCGAGGATCGCATGGAGAGTTTCCTGGGTGTTTCAGACTTTTTATTGTCAAGAACTAGCCTTTGCAGCTGGCGATTATGTAAGAATTTCAAAAACTATTGCCAGTGGTTAAGCCATGCGGAATCTTAACCCTTACATAGTGAGGGATTTCCCACTCGTCTTTCCAGTCAAATGTGTGAGAGCGTGACGTCAATTAACTCCGAAGCCTTGCGCAAATTGTGCCCCCTTTCCCAACTAATCACCCATATACTGCTCAAGAGGCAGTACACAGCAAAATAAAATATTAATCTGCTTCTCAAAGCTGATTTACATCTCAAAAGTAACTGAGCAAGCATAGATTTTGGCCAGGCCGAGCTTGATACACTGAACTCTTACGAAATCAACAGATGACTATTTGTTGATGTGGAAAAAATCTTTAGAAAACTATCTTGATAACTGCACCAAAATGCAGCGTGAACAATGCCAAAGGCCTAGCATTATCAGTTTGGCCACTTTCACAAGAGTGACAAAATAACTTTCTTTTTTCTACGTGCTGTGGCTCATTTTTAAAATTTTTAATTGAACAGAATGATAAATCTCAGTAATTCAGATGTCGACAATCAATGTAAACATCTACAAAAGGCTCAAACATTTTAACATACTCAAAACCTAGCAAAACGAATTCTTCTTTTCGAATTCCTCTTAGATTTGAAGAGTGAAAAGGCCCTAATTCATGTTCTCATGGTCCGTTGGTCATTTACTTTATTTGGTGCCTTTTTGCTCCCTCTTGTCATTTTCTAAGTTTTCTTCGAAATCGTACCAGAACTCATTTTATTGTAAAAATCTTACGTCTTATGAAACTTTGTTAAAAAGCTAAGAATAAGCATGCCATAAATTTTTCATTTCCTCCTCTTATACGAAGAGTAGCAGAATTTTAAATGGCTTTTCTCACGATCTTTTCGCAAATTTCGATAGGTAGATTAAATATTCTTCTACGGGATTTTGCTCTATATAGAAAACTTGTGTTGAACAGTGCTATTTTGGAACGGTTTACTATTTTAATTTCAAGTCTCGTACCATTTCTTTCTCCTGGGAAATTTTGTTTCTTCTAAATAGCTACGAGCGATCGTAACAAAGTCATACAATTTGTATATCACGGGAACATCGAACGCAGTTCCAAGTGGAAAAGCGAAAGCCTAAAGGCCCTATGACTTTGAAAAGAGGGCACGTTTCCCAAAGTCTACAGGAAGGCATTTTCCAAAATTTTTGGGGCACGTGGCCCTAATGTTCCAAGTTTTGTTCCAAGGTTTCTATACATACGTCAATTGCTGCTATACATAATTTATCGCTCATGTTTATTCACACTCAGTAAGAAATTACATGCAATATTGCTTAGATTCGCCAATTCTTTAGAGCAAAGTTTATGTGCATTAAGTTCCCGAATGAGCACAATCATGGTCGAGCTTCAAATAAGCATCACGTGCACATTAGAATCTCGCAAAAGATCTAAGGTTTTTGCATGTACATTTTAAAGAAGAGAAGCTTTAAATGATTAAAATGATATGACAGTTATCATTTATAAAAATCTTTTGGGTCACGCCATGTGCCAAATGTCTGCAAGCAGAACGTCTCTATAGATGACTGCCCATGATTGCACATTGATACTTTAATTTGGTAGTTTTTGTACTAGATTTATTTCATACTGCCTAATAATAAAACAATTTATTGTTGCAATATTTTATAAAATTTTGAAAACAATGCTGTCGATTTTCAATCATTCCAGATAGCCCTGCTATTATTTCAGTAAAAAATTGTTATGACTTTTGGTAAATCTCTTTTTTCAGGTAACCGTTTGCAAACAAGGAAGCCCAATAATCAGAGTCGAAAAAGGAACCACTCTGGGTGTATTGAAGCTGCTGTATGAAGCAGAAAATGGCCCTCAGAAAATTCTTGGTGTGAGACCGCAGAAAACATCTGAATCAATGCCGTGTATTATAACCCTTGATGAGTCAAAGTTGACAGAATCTCTTTATGACATTCTTGTTTTTGGTAAGTATTATTATTGTTTCATTAGCGGATTCGAATGTTATATTTAAATAGTCAAAGTCAGTGGCGCAACGGGCAAAAGTTTCCTTTTGTTTGAAAACTAAGGGCCCCCAACCTTTAGGGGCCCCAAACAAAAATGTTTTCTACGTTATTTTACTTTGAAGTGATAAACGAATTCAAGGTACCCAAAGCCTGTGTGATATATCAGTCTAAATTAATGGAAAGTCTGTTGATTAGCATTTTATGTAATGCTTATACTGTTTCACAAATGATTCTAACTGGGGGGCCCCAAACTGAGTATTCCTCGGGGCCTCTGGTGCCTCCGTTACGTCACTGGTCAAAGTAGTAAGTCAGAAAGGCTGGTTGGTTACTAATATCTCAAAGAGACGTGCGGGGGAGGGAGCCACTGGTGGGGTTGTGAATTGTTTTCTGAAATGCTTTTGTTTGTCGCCAGAGATTCAACCCTAGGCCTTATTTTACTGGCTTCCTCTCCATTGAGTTCGTTATGATTTAAACATGTCTACACTTCCTTGCGTAGAGGAATATCAGCCAGGCTGCTGCGAAAAATGTTGCCCCAACATGTTATCAGAGAGATAAGAAAGAGCAAGGCGTTCGCTCGGCGCTAGTGAGCCTGTTTGCGCGAGGTGTTTTTCTTTGAATTACACTGAGATTTGGCGGGATTTCGGTAACGATAACAACTGAACCACCATCAACACAATCAAGTCATCACAGGGCCCTCATTAAAGGCAAATCAAGCAATTGAAAAAGTCTGTTCAATATTTAATTAACATGAGAGCACCGCGCTACCAGATGGCTGCACGGTCGGTGCACTAAATGAAGCCATGCCCGATTTGCATTCACCGCATGGCATACATTGACCTTCTTCGCAATTATTCTGCATATGCAAGGCTGCCGTATGCTACATTATTAATATAATCAGCTTTCGAATAGTTTTAAGCCATAGTGCTCTTATAAGCTACAGTAATCCATCGGTGTCTCGTAGCCATGAAATGACAAATACTACAATACAAACTACAAGATTAGTGGGTGGTTGCTGAAAGATCTAAGCCAAGAATGGCCCTCATGCCAAGTCGGTTAATTATAATTGCATAAGCTCGTTTCTTGCAAGGAAATGTCATTTGGTATGAGGGTTCAATGCAGTTACTAGCCTTGCTTCTTCTGAAGCCAATGCCACTTATGAAACAATTTGTTACCTTTGTGTTCCAATCTGTTCAAATTGTTTGCTCTCTTTGTGTTCCATTGGTTGATCACAATCAGCGTTATCTATAGATTGCCAATAGAAAAGTTCTTAAATCTCCGAAAAGGTATGAAGGCAGCATAAAGCTGTTAAGAAGCAATATTGAAAAAGCAAGATGTTAAAGTAGAAAGCTTTGGAAACTGCATAAAGCCTTACCCGGTTGAATCTGGTTGTCACTTTTCTTGTTCATCGTAACCTTTTATCTTGTCGATCAAGAACGAGTATCACCTTGTCATACTACTCAAAGGTAATAGCAAGAGCCCCGGGAACTGATTACTTCTGATGCTTAATTGTATCATATTGTATTGTATCGTATTGTATTGTAGATTATTTAATGTTAGTTTTTACAATAGTAAATATACTCTAATTAAGACTAACATTAAGCAATTTCAAGGATTGCACAAGACAGTTCATTTACTGAAAAATAAGTTTTGATCAAATTTTTAGATTGTCAAGTAATTTTGTGCTGTCTTTATTGCATCCGGAAGTGAATTCCAGATTTTAGGCCCTTGAAAACTTAATGATCTGATACCATTATTGGTAGTTCTGGCTTTTGGAATGTCAAGGGGGTTTTAAGTAGCGCATACCTTATTTCTAGAGATTTTTGCCTGCTCTCAAGAGATTGCGCTTAGATCTAATGGACTGCTCTAGTAGGATAGATTTCCATGAGCTGTTTATCTGAAAATGTGAGCGATACTCGTTTGGCTGTGGTATCATATATAAAAAATAGTTCATTTTTTAACGAAGTAGGTAATAAAAGTGTAATGAATAAACAAATAAATGACACGAGCATCTTCATAATTGGGTAATTGCTGTAGCTGAAATCCAATATTGCTGAAATAGTAAGACTGTTAAAATTAACGTTATCGTACAAAAATTGAGCATCGCCCAAACATTTCAGTCAAAGTGGTCTGGCAAGCCATTTCGTTTACAATGGCCAATAGATTCTCTATGCTATCTGTGGTTTCACTTCTCCATATAATACTCCAAGGTTATTAAAACGTGCTTTTATAGCGTTAGAACACTGTCAGTCATGTTCTGCCTTCTTCCTTTTACAGGGACTATTTCCTTCTGAATCTGGATTTACAATTTTTTGGATTGTAAATCCAGGCTTAACAAAAGTTTATCTTTTCTTTTCTAAAAAGGGTGCATAAATATTTTTAGGACGATATTTTCACTTGCTGGTTCAGGAAGGGGAATTTTTTAACTATGTTGTGAGGTAGTTTTTGTGCAGCAATTTGACAAACATATTTTTCTTTAAGTCTTCATCGACATGTGTTTCAGGGGACACATGGCATGCATACTTAAACATGGAAATCTATTATAAAGTGGATTTGCTGCTGCGATATCATCTTATATACTTCGATCAGCAATGACATTATCTGTGAAGATGAAACCCTCTATGTCAACTTGAATCTTCAATCAGTTACTGTGTGTTTATCCTGGACTGAGGCCCAATACGACAGCCAATAATCCTGGGGAGTTGAAATCCTGCATAATTACAGGAGCTCGAAGATTTCCTTATATCTTAGCTCACCGCTAAACTCTTCATGCATTAGATAAGCAGATAGTTGTGAATAAAAGCGTTATAATACAGACAGGTGCTGCGGCTCTAATGGATTTACCCTAATATGAGGACACAATGCATTTTTGTAAATGAATTTTAGGGCCTACTCTTGTTCAATTTCACATGACAGGTTCGATTTTTAATTGCTTTTCATTGTCATAGCCGCAACTGATTCCAGGGACGGCGGAAATAAGGAGGCCGAGGGGGCTTTAGTCCCCCCAATAACTTCCTAAATTTACATAAAACCATACACGAAATCGCTTTGCTCTTGGATTTCGAATTAATACCCTCCCCCCGGAAGTTTTAGCCCCCTTAATCTGTAAAATGCTCCACGGTCGTTGACTGATTCGCCAATCGCCAAAGTTGAGTATTTAGAATGGTGAATATTTCTTTTCACAATAACGAAACCAATAGGCTTTATACTTCATAGAGTAAGGATGTTTGTTGTGCAAATGAATGAACCGACAACATATGATTTACATGTGGTGTTCTGGTGCAGCTCTCATGGACTGTGATTTTCCATTCAAATTGCGCACAGCTTTTTGCGCACAGATTTCGCGCACGACGTTAAGGGGTCAGCTGTTTGTCTTTAGAGCTTTAAGTGGGTGTTTGAGGATAAAGGGACAATCACATCCGCACAGTGCTCGCTGTTAGTTCCGCCGGGGGATAACGCAACCTGTAAGAGGTCAAATCCTTTGGGAAGACAACCTAAGAAGCAAACAAATATGAAATTTCAAAAATGCAATTTGCTAACGAATATTTGTAATGAGTTTTCTTCCATAGATTGCTTATTCCAATACTCGAACCAGGTACCTGAAAATACCAGGTAATTCATTTTCAACCTCACCACTGATTTGTGGGAATATAGGTAGTCAACCGCCTCCAAACTTTCACAGAGGTCAAGATAATGCATTGCGGTAATTGATTCTAACTAGCTAATAATAAAATTGCCTAGCACCATGGTTTTAAAGTCCAATTTTGTATTAGCCTATGCTAGGTGACCATTCTCAAATAAGAACTCCCATTTACTATATTGTTATCGTAGGAAGATCATAGTTGCGTTGTCTTGCTGAGAGGGTGCATTGTTCTGTATCTATCGAATGCTTTTGTCGATTAATGTGTTAGGATAGAAAATATCCAGTTTGCTTTACAAGCTGTTTCCAGGCTTGTTCTCAAACTTATATCAATGAATTGACATTAAAATCGCTGAAAAATTTAATGGTAAACCTTTTATATCAACCTGGACCGCTAACTGTTTTATATTGCAAATCTTTCTGAAAACATCGTGGATATGTTTGAAGTGGTCGTTTAATTGATGGCTAGAAAAATTGCCAGCCGGTGCTTGGGTGTGCTGGTAGGGAGTGATAATTAGAAGGGTGACTATTGGATGACCCAGGAATATGTGCGATTTATCCCACTTACGCCAGTATAAAATTAAATCCTACCTGGAGCCCCTTTCATCCTTCTGGATTTAACTTGGTTGAATTTGAATAAGAATGTAAAAACGTTCGTATGCCCCTTTGTATAGTTAATGCAGATGCACCTGCGTGTTGGGTTACTTTTCAACGAGGATATGAAATTATGTTATTGTATGCGACTTTACGGCAAGCAGATCAGGGAAACCCCGCCTATTTTATAAGCAACCTTAATATTTATAGTTTTTTAAAATCGCAAGGTGCGTTGTTTTTACAATAAGTCATACGATTCAAACCGCAGTCAAAGGGGCATCGATAGTAAAAGGGTTAAGAGAAATCTCCCTTTAAGGCGAATTAGCAGAATCTCAAGCATTCAGGGAGCTTGATTGAGTCCAAGTGTCTTTCGAATATCGCAAAAACCACGTCAAAACTAATCGATAATCTGTCTCGTGTTAATTAGCTTGAGAGTGAAATTTTTCAAGCAGATCACGATTCTGGCCTAGATTTGTAGTTCTATTTTCTCAAGTGAGGGTATTTCCTCTAATATTTTCTCTAGGTACGTATGATGATGAAACTCTAGCTCTATTAATAAAATGAGGGTATTTTCTCTAGTGAGGGTATTTTCGCCTGTGTATCTACTGCCTGTGTATCACTGGTGTAGTGCTATCAAAATAACAGGGGGGGGGGAGTCTCGCACAAAATGTTGCAAAAAACAATAGCAAAAGTAGAAGTTTGCCAATTTTTGGCATTAACAAGGGGGGCTAAGCCGCCCTGAGCCCATCTAGCTCTACACCCTTGCTGTGAATGTAAAACCAATTGTTTGCAAGTGGTCGTATTGTTAAAATAGTCTTTTTATTAATCACTTTGTTACTTATAAAAAGACTTGACCCTTGAGGCTTGCTGATTAATGATTTGATGCGATCTGGTTTTAATTTGGATGTTAGCTACTCGATTGAAGTTCACTGGAAACGTTGTTTTTCTAGATAAATGTGGCTCACCGCAGATTCAAGACAGAGGAGATAGAGATCGTCAAATGTTTGGCAGCCAAGAACGGTATGATAGATACGCCACCGCGAAATGCATTGATTGCTCAAGAGAGTCATGGAAGTCAAAGAAATTCACGACAACAGGAATGAACACTGAGGTCAGTGTCAATCCGAGCATAGAAATAGACTTGCGAGTATTCTCTGGTATTAATGGAACGAACAGTATCCATTACGTGCACCCGCAAACGTCAAATGCTGCATCATACAACGGTCGGCTCACTCGACTACGGTCATCGGTTATGAGACAACCGCAGCCCATTGGCCCTCCTCCCGGCATTGTCCATATGAATGGTGGCCGTAAAGAGATAGCTGTTACAGCACTCCCTGCCATTCAAGTGAGTAGCATCAAGTCAATGGCAAGTGCAAATGATCTAGACATACCCAGACCAAGAGAGGGCTCGCCTTCCCTGTCACCCAGCCCAAGCCGTGAAATACCACCAGTAGCATTCTCTACTTTCCAAGCAACACAGATCAGCTATCCTAGAGGGCAAGCGCCTTTCCACCCACATGCAGACATTCGCTATGATCAGCCACCGACCTTACGTAGTCCACAAGTCAGAAGTCCCCATGAAGTGCAACGGAGTCCTCCACATATAAATGGTGACGCTGCTCCACATCATAGCCACTTGCAGCCACCAACTGTAGCTATGAAGGAGGATAGTCCAGATGGTAATCCAACGGTGTATGTGCTTCCCAATGACTTTGATCTTAATGGCGGCTATGAGCCTCACTTTTCTGCATACGGTCCTCTTAGCCACGATGACGTTAGACGACATGATGAGATGCGTAGGCATGAAGAGATGCGACGCCAGGAGGAGGCCCGCAGGCAAGATGAAATGAGAAGGCAAAGGGAGGCAAGGTTGCAAGAGGAGAAGAGGCTGGAGGAGGCAGATGCATCCGCTGCTAAACGGATGAAGCAAGAACCAATGCCGAGTTTTGCACTGCCAACTCAGGTGCGTTTTTTAAGGCCTCTACTTTTGTATGCTCATTTCCTGCACGTTGTTTTATGGTAAATTTCCACATGGTTTGAAATAGGTTAGATTGTATGCTCGTTTCCTTCTATGTTCCATGTTAGGTGTTACCCAAGGGCCAAAGTTTACTAGCAGCTAGGACTACAAATTGCGGAACTGGAATTTTTAGAGACGTTGGCTGTACTAGTAAGGCTTCTAACAGGAAATCTTTGCTAATTTTTTCTGTACAAAGTTTACTATCAATTATATTCTGAATCACCAATCCATTTACTTTTGCGCAACATATGGCATGATTTATATTCCATTTTATTAATTGTTTTTGCTAAATCCATTAACTGAGCTGAATTAGATCCATAAAAACAGAGGAAGTAAGAGATATGGCAAAAAGATATGCGCCACGCTCTTAGCATACCGTAAATTCTCTTTTTAGCCCCCAGAGGGGCTTATTGTTTTTCAGCACTACAAAAAGGGGCTTATAAGAGAGGGGACTAAATTGAGAGAGGGGACTTAATAAATATTTTGTAATAAAAAACGATGTTTAGTGGTAAAACCAGTTTTTTGTTATTTGCCAAATAAAAAACATCAAATCAGCCTTCTACATCATGCCATGTCGCCTTTTGAAATCGAGCATTCGAAAAGGTCGACTTCATTCCACGGAGTACCAACAGCCTGTAATTTTGGTGAAAGGTTCTCACATGGCCCGTGCTTAATGCACATTATGTTTTTGTCTTCGGATCTGTCGTGACTAGAAGAGACATAATGTGAATTTGATTTGATGCGAAGTATTGAACGACCAATGAATAAAATGAAAATCTCCAAAATGGAAATTTTGGAGAGGTTAAATTGAGAGGGGAGGCTAATTAAATTTTCTTTCTGAAACTGGGGGGCTAATAAGAGAGGATGGGCTTAATTGAGGGCGGGAGGGGTTAAAAAAAGAATTTACGGTAAACATTTTTCTCCTATTTTCACTAGCCTTCAATTCCCTGACAAATCTTGAAATCTTGTTTTCGATGTAAAAACTAATGCATTGCTCCCTAATTACATGACATATTTTAGGTATTAAAGGTATGATAAGTATTAGGTATGAGGGTATAAAAAGGTTTTTTAGTGTGACGCATTTTTCTCTAATTTCCAGGTAAGCCTAAATGACTCAGAAAACATGAAGCCTGAAATCAAATTTTCACCTCAGAATTCAAACAGCTGCTCTCCTTCGTCTCTTCAAGAAGAAAACGAGAGCCCAAACACTGAAACAGGCAATACACAAAAGCTTTACTGCAAGATCTGTCACAAAGTTTTCAGTACCAAGAGTCTGCTATACAAGCACCTTCGAGGCCATAGTTCAGATGAGAAGCCTTATAAATGCCAAGAGTGTGGACAGGGGTTCACGTTGAGCAGCAATCTGAGACAGCACAGAATTATTCACCGAGGCTACAAGCCCTTTCAGTGTGAGTATTGTGGCAAGAAATTCATGAGGTCAAATGTATATAAGCAGCATAGAAGGATACACACTGGAGAAGAAATGTATAAGTGTAGCCTTTGTCCAAGTGAGTTTCTTCAGAAGTATGCCCTAGTGAAGCACATGAAGAAGCAACACGACGTAGACACTGGTGATAATATATAAATCACTGGTATGCATGTGATAAGCACATGAAAGTAGATGGTAGAGCACGTGAAACGTGGCAAGTAGCACTCAAGAGGTAGTATTGGTAGATTCGTTAGGAAGTTTTGCTGTCACCATGACAGTTTTTGGGGTTTCTGGGGGTATGAATTCGTCGTAGATACATGGTAAGGATGCATAATTACGCTTTACCGCCTTCTGGATTAGGGTTCCTAGCAATGCGACTAACATGTACGTCTGGCTGCTTCAGAGCAGCAGGCGTCACTTGCCGTTTTCATACGATTGTTTAAGGCTGTATTGAATGGTCTGTTTGGGACTGTTGTAGCACGTAGTTCGTGAGGAGTGTGTTAGCGGCTAGATATGAATTTAATAAAGCAGTTACGAGGCTGGATCAAAGTGAGGTTTTGGAAGTTTTTACCAGTAGCTTGATTGACATTTATCTCGGAATGGAGCAGTGGCCGAAACTGAAAAATGTCCGTTACCCAAATGACGCAAACTATCTTCTACCCTTGAAAGCTGCATGCAAAACGAGATGTCGAAAACATGGAATAACAGGGAGATATATTTGTCTTGCACCATCTGACAGCCACTAAGAATATCAATATAGAGGAATTGGGATGATACTGGAAGCTGGCTCTGCAGAATAGCCAAGGTAGGCAAATAAGTAAATTGTAAAAAGATACTTGTGCTAAATGGCAAAGTTGTGCTAAGTGAAGGGTAGTTTACTTTGTATGACTAAAAGCTTCGTCTCAGTGAGGAACGCCAGTTAGCCGCCTTGTAAAGGAAATCTTTCATTTTTCATACGAACGTATTTGTTCATTCATATACTCTAAATCATAGACAGCTTAGGAAAGAAAATGCTTCTGCGGAGGAGTCTCTTTGCATTAATTTACTACGTGGCTGAGAAAGTTTGACTTTTTCTTAAGCTTTGTAGAGTTTGAAATTTTTTAAACACATTTCTTTAATTTAAAAGCTGAAACCCCTTTTTACATTGTTTCACTTGACAATCAGTCGTTAAAATGTGATTTTACACCAATTGCCAATAAAAAAGAAATCTGGAATTGTTACAATGTTATAGTATAACAAAAGTTAAGAGTCTTTCCTTAGATTTTCACAATATTGAAAATGCAAGTATAACTTGAATCCCATTGTTGTGAAAAAAGCTTGCTCCGGAGCAAGCAATGCTATATTAGATTATGATTAAATGCAAACCGGGAGCATTTTTCTCTATAAATGTACATTAGATCGAAGGTTGTAATTGTAAAATAGTTGGTAGAGGTATTAATTTATATTTCTCTTGATTGTTGTAGTAATTGTGACCAAGTCATGTAAGTAAAGTTTTAATTCAACAAAGTTGTAATAGCATTTTGTAGGCCAAAAAGGTATCAGTAACATGCTTTGAACAATCCAACGAGCATTTTTAAACTTCAAAATCTATATAGGGTCTTGCGGTTGGTATCTTGTCCTGGTTCCCATAAACTTTTTGAGTTGTTTTATTACCTTTTCCCTTAAACGGAAATTTCAAAAGTCACTTTTAAAAGATCTGTATGCATGGTCATGCATTAGTCCTAGACACAACGGTTAGCAGTTTGTCACGCCGGGTATTTGGTCAAATGTTATAACACCTTGCGACAGTTGTGGGGAATTCCACCTACATTCTTACTCAAGAAATGTTTTTATGGATTACCTGGCGCTCTCTGTACAACGCAAACGAGAATAGTGGCGGTGGTTGTTATGAAGGTAACCCCCTGATTTTTTAGTATTTACTTCCCCGCCAAACTGCACGCTCTGGCAGGTTACCTGCAACTGTTAAATGAATCCTTTTGTTACCATGATATCCTTGTGTCTATTTACTCAAACCGCAAACAAAAAGGCAATTTATTTCTTTAAGGCTAATGCATATCTTTGAGACAATGTCTGGTTTCTTTTTACTTCCAGTACAGATGTCTGGCTCGAAATTTCGCTCAATTTGATCCATAGGTAAATGTTTTGTCTCCTCTTAGGCCCAATATTGTTTTTCATGGTACTTTATGCAAAAGACTGATGCATTAGGATAGGCCTGTATTACTGCGTGGATTCTACTTGCTGACCCGCTCAACGAATAAGTTATATTGCTCCAAATATCAACTAAAAATCCAGTTCAATTTGCTTTGCAGTTAAGTTTACCATAGAGAGAATTGCCTCCTAGCTGTTCAAAATTAGCAACTGTACAGTAATAATTCAGGAATGGGCTGGAAAATTTGAATTTAAAGCACAATATCTACAAGAAATGTTTAATGCCTTAAGTTGGAATTTAGCACAATAAGTTTGTTTGAAAAGTCCTGTTGACAATTAATACCAATTTACAGCCTATATTGTTGTCAGCACTTATGCTTACTGCAGTATTTGGAATTGTCATTGGCCAGGTGGAACACTTGCTAAAATAGTAAGATTTCTATAGAGACAACTAGAAGAACCTCTTTCGGGAGACAAGGTACTTTTGCAAAGTTTTATTATCTCACGCCTCTAAAACTAGAAGGAAAACCAACATAAAGCTTCTGTACATTTCTGGAACGCTCTCTGGCAACTTCTAAAAGATTGTGAGCACAAATAAAAGATGTTACTGCGAAGGCGGCTTTAGCTTTACCTAAATGATGTAGTGGCGACATAAAGCAGATTTTGAACTTGGTATGTGAAGGAAACTTTGTTGATGTGCAGAAGAACCTGATAGCGCTCACTTGCCGAGCCATAGTTTGAAATAGTATCTTGTTAATGGTGACCCTGATTTCCCTGAGTAAATGAGATAGCGAAAGATGATATTCTACCAGTCACCAAAGGCGTGGTATGCATTTCTAGTGACTGGATTTCACTTAGGTATCTTGATACTTTAATAGTAGCAAGCTTTCTCTCTAATTAGATGCACTCTTTAGCTTGGATCGTATCTTCTTTTTCCCAATAGAAAACTGAGCAATTATCTCAACATGCTAGCGTTAAGGAACTAGGAGGGTTGTTGGTTTCTCAGTTACAATCATTGGCTACCTTACTTGACTGAATTGTAAAAGTGTAGATTACTGAAATTACGTATTGTCTTGGCGTAACCACTAACCACGTTGATAAGACGTTCCAACCTTACTCACTTAGCAAATCTCATTCTAAACCTCACATGCCTTGCCCTTTGAAATACAGTAACAAGAAATTACCATGCCAAACAGACAAAAGCTGCAAAAGATCAGACGGCCGGGTACAATAAACTAGACGCTGTCTAGACTTGTGGTTTGAGGAGTAAGCCACACTGGCCTATTTCGAAAAGGTAATACAGTTATCTATAGCACAGCGGGATATGAACAATGCCACGGTAGATATCTAGCGTTGTTCATTTGACGGTGTTTGAGGTAGCAAATAGCTTCTTAGCTTTATTGCGTAGCTCAAAATAGCATTGCAGAGTTAAAAGAAGTTTATCCTTTCTAGCTAACTGTTTTCAATAGTGCCACCATCCACACAGTATACGTTTGACACATCATCAGGAAAGAACTCACCGCCGTTAGCTCTTCCACGCGTCATGCGCGCGGCGAAAACCTTTATTTGCTCAGCAACAGAGTTATAAAACACCCTTAATTGTTGCACTATGTATAATCTTGTATAGGAAACCGAGTGACAAACTGCGTAACCTATCTACTTGTCTCTTTGCGGATACGTGTTTGCTTTAAGAATCGATTTCTCGAGGCAGAAATCGAAAGGGATGCTCTCAAAGCTTTGTTGCTGCTGCTTTTCTTCCTTTTTTATGGAAAGAAATTTTGTTTTAGCTTTTCATTTTTTCTTCTTTGTTTTAAAAAATGTTTTGTTCCATGGAGTTACGGCTAGCTTCACCTTCATTCGCTATTGAATGACGCGAGGTCTTTGTTGGAATGTTCCTGTCCAGTTAAGATTCCGTGTGAAATCTATTGCGGTAGTCATTAACCTGTCTAACTGTTCCTCCACGTTCAATAGACATCCCAACACTAGGAGTTCAATTGCAAAACATAACTTGTTCCTTGCGATAAGAATTTAGCTGGTTGCTTTAATTAACCTACTTTAAGGCTAGCCGTAACTCACCATGTTTTGGAAGGAGTCCGTAGTTTCATGGAAATCCTGAAATACCACCACGAAGGAGCATGCTTATTCGACACGACTGCCCTTTCGGATTTAGGAAAGTGATAGTATTTATCATGGCTAATGCAAATGGTATAGTTCTTTTTTGGCATTTCAAAACTTGCCATTTATACGGCTTGGACTAATCAGAATTTCCCTTGATATTGCAGAGGCGAAAACTTAATGGCATCTTTAGCACAAGCCTACTGGAGCACTTCACAGTTCTGCTCAAAAATTTTACGCATGTTAGTTCTAGATTTTAGGATGGCCACTTCCCATCATGCCACGCGGGCGTAACAGTCCTCCTTGAATACTTTTCCTTGGCAAGATTCAAATACCAAAGGGATTTTCTCTAAATCCACCAAACGAGACAATGCTCCAGACATAATCTTGACTGAGATAACACATACGCCTAATTTCGAGGCCAGCGAATGGGTGCAGTGGCTTTCGTAAATAGTAATCCTTGCTTCATGTCACTATATTAACTTCAGTGGCGAAACGAGCGACTTATTAGATTAATGTAAAGTTTTTGACTTGAGCCTTTTACGATTCAGCCCATGCTTGGCAATTGTAAGTGCTCAGTAGTCTTGAGGTTTTTCTTCTTAGAAATCTTATCCCCAGATGAAATATATTCTTGGTCACTTTTTCGATTTTGATATGCATGGTTGGTTTAATCAATTGCAGTCAAAGCGAATACCGCAGCTAAGTCGATCGCATTTACTCGCATTTGTGCCTAAACAGCTCTCGTTGTTTTGGTAGTTTTGTTACCTCGTCAATCTAGTTTCTATATAATTCTATATATGCCCAAGAAATGGGAGGTCAAAGGTCCTTCCCATAGCCTTCAAATCTAAGTTACTTATAGGGAAATTAATTATAGAATATAAATTATGGACTCCTTCCACCTTATTATGTTCGGAACCAATATCAGATGCCCTGAAATTCTGTGTATCAAGTTTTTATTTCCACGATTTTTAATGATTAAATCGATTTTAGAAATTGATGAAAATTTCGGCCGTTTTCAAGTTGGCAAAACTTTAACTGCTTACTCTTTAACTTATTAAAGAACTTCAAGGTATCAAAAATTATGGATTAGCAATTAGCTGTAAAGTATAGTATTTATTATTTGAGAGTTAGTTAATATTGCTTTGTTTGTTTAGCAAATGATCGGATTTAATATAGTTTCTTTGCAGCAAATCGTTTGAAAAGAAAAACTAACTATTTATAAAGACTTTGTTACTTTTCGTTCTTTTGGATAGGTGCTCATAGTTAGTTATTAACATTTTCTGTTGGGTATTTTAAAGTCTCTTCTAATTTAGGTCTCCCGTTTGTACTTCATTTTTAGTAGATGATAATACACCTTCTTTATACAATCAACTGTGTTTTTTCCTTACTTTTCCTTGCTGTCGATATCTTCTAGTCCCTATCAGGCATAATAGTAAGAATTTGAGGTTTCGAAAAGAGGATTTCGAAAAAAATTCTCCACTAAGTAAACTTCATACAGATGTATCGTGAAGCCAAGAAAAGCACATTTCCAAGGAGAGGCCATAGGAAGAAACAACCAATTCACTTTTATTTACTGGTTTAGAATTTTTAAAACTTGCTGAAATAACAGGGTTTACAAAACAAACAACGTGAAACTCAAAGAAATAGCATTTTTAATAATTTCTTAATTTTTTCACTTATAAGGTACTCTTGCTATAGCAGCTCAAAGTTTTTCAAATTTCAAGGCAGATAACCTTAATCTATATCTCAGACTGAAATATTGTCTTAAAGATCGTTCTTTCTACACTTTCCCTGGAGCTTCTTAGAAGTAAAGCTGGAAGGATAATATCTCTCTTGCCGTTTTTTTGCATGACAGTAGTCCACAGAAGCTATGTTTTATAATTTAGGTTAAAGAATTGATTAGTTTGAGCATGAATGTTGCTGTGTATTTAAAACAGCGTTCAAACAGTACTTTCATATGGAGGATTTGAATGACAAGTGACTGCCAAGATTGAAGTTTTCTACTTGATTCTGTCGAGTGTCGACATTAGTTAGCTGACATCCAAAAGTCTTATGGTTTATTGCACAATCTTTTCATTTCTTAAAAAATTTATATCAACCAGTTTTCAACCAAAACAATAAGTTTAGGTCAAATTTCGTGTCCAAGGTTGAAGCCACTAGTCGGAAGTGAGTCTTTTCCAAGAACATATATTTCAAGAGAGCCAATAGCCTCTCCCTCAACAAGGTTACAATCGAATATGAGGCTGTAAAAAACTTTTATGACAATAGCGGGGACTTGATACAGAACTTTAAATGGCTGTATTGCAAAGAATCAATTGAATTTGGAGAATTTCATATTTCCAATTATTCTTTGCTAATGTGAAAAATCTTTCATGAGAGCATCTACAAAGCGAAGCGGCCTTTCACCTACACAAATGTTTGCCTTGTGCGCACTTCCAAATAGAGGACGGTAAACATGTTGTTATAAAGGCTTTCAATTTCAAAGCAATAATGTTACCATCACATTGCCGGGGGTCTTTAATAAGTACGGCTAATAAATGTGTTCTCGTCTTTACTACCTTTACTTTCAAAATTGTTGCAATAACAACCAAGAGGCTATTATCTATAAAAATGGAATTCTATCGTGACTACATGGTGAAACAACAATTTGATTATAAATTATTCCTTTAAAGTTATACTTAGAATCAGTGTATATTGAAAGATGTAATACACATCACAAACCATAACATATTTAAATTATATTCTATTTTCATTAATTCAATACCAGCGGTGAAGCCTAGAATAGCCAACCAGAAATCACATGATATAATAACTAATTAATCGTACCTATTGACTCTCATCCCGTGCAGTGGTGCCCAGTGTGGATCTAAAATCTACAGTTTCCAGCAAGTATAGATTTTACGCATACAGAAAAGTGAGTGGATTTGAAGCACAGGCCTATCCATCCATCCTCGTAATTTTGTTGTGTGCACCGCGTAAATTCTGGGATGTGGAAAAAATAAAAAGCACAACAAAATGAAATGAATAATTAGATAGACAAAAAATTTAGGTTGAATATCACGTTTTCACGCGTTCGACTGTGACAAAGCGCGCGTTATCCGTGACGTCACAAGGTTTGCAAATATGGAAGCAGATGGCGTTTAGTACACTAAGGAGTATAGAGGTCGCTATTAGAACTACAGTTTAAAATTACTGAAGGGGGCAATATTAAGTCAGGTTCCATGTCCAATCTCTTTAAGCGCATCAAACTGTTCTTCTTTGCAAAGTTTTATACTGTTGTACCAATGTACGACTGAAATACAATAATACCGTTTATTAAGGGTCTGGGGCAGTGTACCCCAGTCTTAAAATAGAACAAGGAGGCATTTTTCAGATGGTGTTTGTATCCTATTATTTTCTACATATCAGATTGCCACCTTTTGCAAAGTTTCCTGCTATTGTGCATACTTTCAGCAAAGATATCAAAATAACATCGTTAGAGGAGTCATGCGGTAAAGTACCCTAGTCCAAAATAGCGAAAGGAGGGAATTTTCAGCCTGGGTCTATATCCTATCTTTTTCAGCATATCAAACTGCCTTATTTTGCAAAGTTCCGTGCTATAGTACCTAAATACGACTGAGATGCGATAACCCCGGTATCGAGCAAAGTACCCCAGTCTAAACATGAAAAAGGGGGCAATTCTAGTTAGGTTCTATATCCTATCTTTTGAACCGTTTCAAACCTGTTGTAAAGTTTCGTGCTACTGTACTTACTTTCAGAAGATATATTGTAATAACGAATCAAACTTCCCCTTTTTGCAAAATTTCATGCTGGTATTACAATTTGCACAATTGTCTGACTAACAGCCCTGACTAAGTGGTATAGTGTGTTTTTGTGAAGACGGAACCAACTGCAAACCTTGTGACGTCACTGATTCTTATGTTTTGTCACTCGCACTCATTGTTTTTAAAACTCCCAAAACAAACTTTCCCGTGAAAATTTTCGAGCTAATTTTCGTTATATGTTGCAACAACATATAGAAGTTTTAACTTTTTTTAAAAAAAACTATGTGTAAAATTTCATTTCATGGGCACTTTTAAAACTTTGAAGCGAAACGACTGTGTATGTATATTCAAGAAAATGCAAAACTTAAAGTATATAGATTCTAACATGCAAAGCTTATAGTATCTGTATTTTGTTTTTGAGACTGTATACCCGACACTAGAGGTACAAGGAAAAAGAACCCCTGGAATTATCTCCTTGGTGAATATGTAAATCATGATATTAATTAAGGTATCTGTTGCACAACCTACACTTTAATTAAACGAAAAGACTGTTTTGTGTTATTGATTTGTTTAATTTATGAAGCAACCTGCTTCGTCTGGGTATTCATATCCAATAACTTATAAATAGCTGCCCTCTAACTGAGATTAGGCATGACAGCAGCAACAACGAGCAGATGGCATGGCCTAATTGGTTTCTATTGGTTGCTATTGTAAAAAGGTATTTATTTCCACACACATAAACTGTGACATCTGCATTCCTATAGAGATATCTGTAGAAGTAACGGGAAGTTTTTGCTTGAAGTTGCATACTTGGAAATCATGACGTTTTTTGCGACAGTTAAGCATCACTTTTTGGAAGTTCCTTCCGATGGTCGAATCTGCACAAAGACTTTTCTTGACGCGTGTAGTTCAATCGTACCGTTTTTTGGTAAGTTAAGAAGACGGGTATACGTTGCTTCTAGTTACCACACCCATATGTTTTATTGCACTTCGAGAATATTTTGAATTATTTTTTTGCTGAATTTTGTTGCTAGGTATTGGCAAAATATCAAAGAAAGATCGGGCTTCCAAATACCAACTACCCTACATTCCTGCAATGCAGGTTTGAAGTTTGGATGCTATTCTGGATAATTAGCAACAAAGGTGTAAAAGACATAGAGGCTGGGCACTGGAACCCCGGTAATCAGACAAAATTATGGCATTTCAGATTCCATGATGGCATTTTTTTTATCTCAAAAAGCAATAATTTGGGCAAAACCCATATTTACTCAAGCACCGGCGGAGCGTTGAGAAACGTGGGGGGTCTAAAAATAGTGGGGGTGCTAAAACGGTATAAAAAGAGGCTTTACTGGTAGTTTATTACTTAGAATTTTAAATTTTTGCAAAAAGTGGGAGGGCCAAAGCCCCCCCCCCCAGCCCCCTGCTCCGCAGTGCCTGTTACTACCGTCAAAGAGAGTAGGCGGATCTTTGCTGTTTTTTATTCAGCAATGCATTCTCACCAGTGGCGTAGCCAGGGTTGGAGGGGCAGAGAGGAGTCCAGCAGCAGGGAGTCTGGGAACCCCTGGAAAAATATTTGACTTTTCTATATAAATCCTAAAACGAAAAGGGAAATTGGAAAACATTCTGTTGAGATAGAGACAAGGGTCCCCTAATTTAAGAAATTTTTGTGACCAGGCCCTTAAGATTAGCTTAAAATACATTACAGAAAATTGTTTACAGTCATTTGCTCACAGTCATTATAAATGTTTTAATTTTGTCTGAAAAATCAACGATCATTGCCTTTTTCTTATCCTATTTGTTTTATTGCCTCTTTCCTAACCCTAGCCAATTAGTCTCCATCAGTGACACCTGCAATCAAGGTGGGATTATAAGAGACAATGTGCCAAAAAATGGTGAAACACAAGCAAAAAGAGAAAATGCTTTATTTTGCAAGGGCAGTGGAATCGCCCATTCTACCCTCCATGGTGAAGGCATCCTTGATCTCCTTGGATTTCAGGCAAATGATTATAGACTAAACATAAGACTCCTCAGACAAACAAAGCCACCATCAATTAGAGATGTGGTATAAAGTAATCGAAAGAAAATTTTAAGATATTGCTTCTGTTCAGTTGGTACTCAGTGTAGTTTACAATCCTTTATTGCAAATTTATGTTTTTTGCAAGGGATTTTTTCCAAAAAAATACCTCACAAGATATTCCCTTCATAAGTTTATTTTTTCATATTCATGCAAGAAAACATGTTAAGGAAATTACGAATCATATATTTTGAGAAAATAGAAGGAAACAGACCCAAGAGATGTAGAACAATACTAAAAGAAAATAAATTTTTTCAAGATAAGAAGTTCTATGAAAGGAAAGGAAACTCTCATATTAAAAGAAAACCTGTTTTTCAATTGAAATTAAAATTCAAGATACATTAGGCTTTGGGGGCCATTGATGCCTTATCATTTTGGTAGGATAACTGGAAAAAAGACTTATTTTAATATTACTAAAATCAATATGATATCTCTTTACAGGATCAGAATAAATCCAATGATAGTTCGTAGCAAAATAGAGCTTTAATGACTTACTGTTGTTGTTGTCACAGCTTTTTTGCCACATTTGATGTTGCTGAGAAACAAAGCTACATATTAAATCAACATCTAAAATGCTTTTTGCAGTATAGCATGCTTTTGCAGTATAGCAGTTGAAGTACATAAACCTTACATACTAAGGCCATTTGCTGCATTTGCCTAACAAGCCCCAAGATGTATCTCTCATTGGCTCACAAAAAATTATGCCTAAAGTTTGCAATAATCCCAGCTCTTTGATATTTCAGGAAAAATCCTGTTTCAGGAAAATACATGTTGAGCACAAGCAATACCTTTTCCTAAGATTTGAATTAAAGTCTAGTCATGGGAATCAACTCAATTTTATTGCATAGATTAGTAGTTGGTAAATTAACCAAATATTTTGACTTATTAAAATAGGGTTTTGACTTCAAGCAAGACAAATTATTTCTCTCAGGTTAGAGAGGAACTGTTTGCATTTGTGCTATTTTATGCCTTTGGGTGAAAATAAAAATGAAGATCTTTGTTGACAGTTGCTTTGAATTTTTTTAAAGAAATGTGCAAAACTCTTAAAAGAGAACAGATTATGGCATCTTTGGGTGCTGAAAATACTTGTTTGTGCCTTTCAAGAACCTGTATTCAAATTAAGTTATACTTTGCTATAATTTTTGTGGGTTGGCTTCTTTGATTTAAAAATTCCATTTTGAATTATCATGAAAATTGAGAGCCTCCCCGTAAAAGGATTGAAAAATCTTGAGATAATATCATGGAATCCATTATCACACAATTACAGCCTAAGGATTGTGCTCTTTCATGTATTCATGTGTATATTCTGACTAGTTAAATCTGATAGGATTTGAACAAATAAAAACTAGTCCCTCTTTAGGATTTTTAACTCAGAAATATTTATTACTTTGAGAAGTTTTGTATTGAATAGGATGAAGTTTGCTGCTTTGTGTTATATTTGATAGGATTAAAGCATGCATATTACAAGATTACATTATCTGTAATAATGTTTTACCTGTTGTTTTCTTCTGCTAAAATAAATTGAATGGTGGACATTGTATATATAGAGTGTAAATACATGCAAGTTCCTTGAAGATGTATTGACTAGAAGACTAGTAAAATCATTAATCATGAATGGTCATAGCCGTCTAGTGTTCTGTTTGCCATGGCTCAATAATTTGATTAGGAACTATATAAAAACTAAATTATCTTCAAAATTCTTTGACTTTATTGTATTTCCGATGGTTACAATGTAGATGTATTGTCACTGGTATTAACTTAAGAATTTGCATTCCAAAAATTTCTCCAAACACATGATTTCCACAGTTAATGTAAAGTGCTTGAATCACAAGCACTTTTCTTTTTACGGTGACTGAATAACTTTTTCTGTGACTGAAAAACTTTTCTTTGAAAAGAAAATAAAAGATTATTCTTGAAAATGAATACATTTGATATTTTGATCACTCTTCAACTCATCAGACATAGTTTTTTCAAAAACAGCTAAAGTTTTATTTAAATCAAAACAAATATATATCTGTTGATATAAGTAAGTTAAGTACTGAGGACATACAATTTTAGAGAAAAACAGAATCTGGGTTATTGCCAGTAATATGCAATCATACCTATCTAAGCTTTTTGCGTTGCACCTCAATTAATTTACTTTGGTTTAACAAGACAAATATTCAAAAAATTAATTCAATTTTTAGGCAGCTGCTGCTTAGAAAAATTATTGGTGTCAACAATTATAGAACCTACATACCAACAGAATCTGGGGGGGAGTCACAGCTTTAGCTCGACTAACTTTTTTATATTTCAGGTAACAGACTTTAAAACCCCTTTCTAAAAGGAAACGAGATTGACTCCCAAGTTGACTTCGCTTATAAATGTTATGCAAAGCATTATGACTTTTTCTATCATTCATGCAATTTCTGTAGATTTCTGGTAGTGAATTCTAATCTAGTCTAAATACTTACTCAGCTGCAAAAGCCTACCTACATACAGCTTGTGTAAAGTTATAGAACTACTTCAAGTAGCTGACCACACCATAATTAAGTAGCAAGAAGAACAATCCATTAATGATTTTTGATATCAAGATCGATATCTCATTTAAGATAATTCGTGATACAAGAGGTCGACCGATTACACTTTTGATAAGTCATACGTTCATTTAATGCATTTTATCTTGTTTTCGTACCCCCCAAACCTCGATAATTTCAGCCACTGTCTGTGCCATTTAAACCTTTGATGCAAATCCCATTTTCCAAAAGCTCCCTTCTCATTTTAAAGGGTCTTGCAAACAATTCTTGGTCTGCATGATATTTCGCTTAAAGATATTGACTGAGATATCTGATCCGGGAAACCTGCTTGGGGAAACATAGTCTTTTCAAATCTATAGATTTCGTTAACAAAAAGCAATGCAGGGTTTCAGGGATTTAGAATTCTAACAAGGGGAAGGTCATGCACCCAACATACCATCTAAAGCTCTGCCTTTACGGTGTTGAGCACTTTATAACAGACCGGTAAACAGCAATTTTTCATCCGCCTCTTTATGCTTTGTATAGAATTTGAGAAAGTCGAGCTTAAACAGTTGGCAGAACCACTTTTAAAATCAAATATGGGTGCAGTCATTTAAACAATGAAGATTAATTCGTGTAGAAGGAAGAGAAACATGCTGAAATTTTTAGTAGATTAAGCAATATGAAAACTGCAAACATAAAAATATATCGATGGTATGTCATAATACTAGAAGTGATGGATTTCATGGAAATTATCCTTTGCTAACAAAAGAGAGAATTATTTGGATCTACACATGTTCAATGACGCATTATCTATCATTAACGATTACCGAAGAGGCGATGGCTCCTCGAGGTCATAGGAATACAGTAAAATCCATTCATTTTTATTTAGTTCGATCCGCAAATGCTAATGTCACCGAACTAGTCATTCCGGTCGCCTCTACGCTTCAATTTTTAAACAGAACAGAGATCACCACACAGTGTTTTATGTTCTTTGGGAGGTTTTTTTCTCTTCTTTACGTGAAGGCAATTCCTATCTTAACTGCTTTTATAATACCCCAGTTAGTGTGTCTAGTAATACATCCTTATGCTAATCTTGGTCCTGTTTTCTTTGTAGATATTCTTGGTGCTACAGCGTTTGCGCCAGCCAAGTCAGACATTAATGGAAACATCAGCGTAAGTGCCTATTTTGTGTCTCTAACCTTGGTTTTAAGCTGAGATATTTCCTCAAGAATCAAGCGTTTAATCACCGGTCAGTTGCCTTCTAAAAAAAATAATTTCTGCCTTGCGTCACATCTAATAAATCCCAATTTTGTATGTAGGCTTTTCGATAACTTTACGTAATTGCCGGGGGCGTACCTTGACTATTTGGAGCGAGGGGGGGGGGTGAATTTGGTGAATTTACCGACCAAAACTCAACTCTTGCTAGTCAATGTATAACTTATTTTACAGTTATATATTGTGAATTTAACTGTTTTATCAATATGACCTATGAGTCTTGGGCAGCCCCAGTGCCCTGATTTATGAACGACTAGCCGGCCACTTAAAAGTAATTTAAAGTACTTTCTATCATTAAGCAACTATCAAATGAAAGAGCCCTGTCCATATCAAATCTTTGCCTTCCTTGTCTTTAATTTAGACCATGAATCGGCAATGATATCTAGCTAGGTTCAAACTATCTTAAATATCATTGGAGCAGGCTGCTATCATCAACAAATCAAGTCGATCTTCCTTCATGGTCGACCGGAGATATGTCTTAACTTGCTGAAGCTGCGCTCGTTGCTTGTAACTGACACGGGGATTGTTAATGCCAACTGGTAAGCCTTTAAAAGACTGGGATAAACCTTTCCTTTCTCCTTCACCCATTGTGCTGCCTCAAGCAAAATTTTCGCATTGCTTTCTGCCAGCCATTTTCCAATCATTTCAATATCTGCAATCAATACATTAAGATCTTTGAGGTCGTCAGTAGAAGTGTCATACAGTTTTCGAAAATCACTTTTAGTACCTTTAGATAGCTGGCTTGGAAGCAAAGCAGTTATTGGTTGGATAATAGTCAAAAAGTAATCAAGGACAACAGCGATTTCTCTGCGATAATAGTCACTCAAAGTTTGAATGCTGCCAGTTTCATTGCAGTCATCGATTCATTTTGGAGGCCTTCGTAAACGATGGTTTTTTAAAAGTTGATTAACTGGATCTACTCCAGTTGCCTCAATTTTCTGAATGGCAGCTGATATTATGCCACGAGTGCTAATTTAATCATTGCGCATTTGAATCATAGCATCTCTTGTTTCGCATATGGCACTAAGACTTGCAATGACATCCTGTTGTACTTCTTGAACTTCAAGTGATATGATTTTTATCTTCTAAATTACATTCTTCATAAATAATATGCTCAAGTAAAATTCAAGGGAATGAATTTCCTTAAGCAGATTAGCAGCTGTCATACGCGCCTCGCGATCACATTCTTTTGAGCATTCGATGTCTTTAAACGTGTCAATCAAAATCTCATAGCCAATCCAAACAGCTCTTATTGTTTCAGCTCTACCGATCCATCTTGTCTTTGATGAGTTTTTCATTACAAGCCCTTCCTTGAGTTCTTCAATTCTATCTTTCAATCTACCAAATCGGTCAATGCTCCTTGTAAAAAAATTGAATAGCTGCTGCAGAGTGGCGAAGAATTGATCAATCATCATTGAAGCTCGGCATGCTTGCTCAACACACAGGTTAGTCCTGTGACCGAGACAGGTGTATTAAGGGATTGATAGCCCTAATCGTTCTCTCAGCTTGGCTTGTGCTCCGTTGTATGCTCCAGACATTGAAGCAGTGGTATCATAACATAGAAAGCGGATGCTTGAAAGAGGCAGTCGGAGTTCTTGAAGCTTTCTATTATTTTTTGCGCAAAGGCGTCACCACTCTTTTTAGTTATTTGAATCTTTATCAGTCGTTCTTTGATTTCAAAATTTTCATCAACATACCTGATAATAAATGAGATTTGGTCCACTTGACTAGAGTCAGGGGTTGTATCCGCTATGACAGCAAAGATTCCAAACAACTTTATTTCATCAATGATTTTCATGCGAATCGCGGAGCCTATGAGTGAAATAAATTCATTTTGCGATTTTGCACTCTCTTGCTCTTGCTCCTCCAAAGCTACCCTTTCCTTTTTTGCACTTGCCAATCCTACGTCAACATGTCTTTCCGTCACCTGAAAGACCTCAAGTTTGGTAACAGCTAGTTTGTGAGCGTTGCTTGTAAAGTGATCTGCCAACTTGCCTTTTTTCTTTTACCCACGACTTTTCATCTTGTGCTACCTCCTAATACCTTTGATTGACCAACTACTCTCTGCACAGCCAGACGCATCTCCGAATAAGGAGAAAGCATAAAAAAATGCATGGTCAACATAAACGCTGTACTCAAGTAGAGGGTAATCTGTATACCACTGGGCGCTGAAATTATTTTGTTTACCTTTAGAAATATCCTAATTGATAGGAAATTTCTCTAGCTTTGGGTGGCATGGTCCTCTCGACATTAAAAAATGCTTTTGCTGCTCATTGCTTTTATGTCATGTTCTTCAAGAACTTTCTCTACTGGCAGTCTGGAGTTGCCCAAATCCCTCGTGCACATCATCAGCCAGTATCTTTTGTATGGAGAGTATCTTTTCTCGTCTGATAATGTGGCACGTATTGATATACCTTTCTCATAATCATCTAAAATCTCCCCAAGCATCCCAGCAATGTGTGAATTATCAGATTCGTATCTGTCCTCGTTCTGAAGCTTTGAGAAATAGATTTCCTTCTTTTTGGTTCTCTTATGTCTTCCTACCATTTTTTATGTAAGTTCATATTGTATTATGCGGCATAGGGACATTTTGTTTTTGTTCATTACATTAGCAGTGTTTATTGTTAGGAGGTCTTATCATGTCCCATGTCATTGCCTCTATCACAGTACACACCTTCAAAATGCAAGTTTCTATGATATATATTAACGATTATGTATTCTACATTTTCTCCATGAATTTTTGAAAAAGAAAATGTTCTGTAATAAGACTTTGTAAAGAAATGTAAATTGTTTGGTCTTACTTGTGACAAAGGCTGTGCAGATTCAAGTAGATTTTCATTTTCACTTTCAGCTGAATTGAGGTCAACTTCACTGCGTTCTGTTAAGTTATCTCCAGCAGATTCTCCTTTCTGATCATCAATTTTTGACTTTTTCTGAGGTGACTGAAATTCCATCGGCACATGATCATCAGACCCTCCTTCGTTCGTAATATCTCGTTTTTTATGACATACCGCATGCTTTTTAAGGCTAATAGACGCAAACGGGATTGCAGGCACTTGTAAAATGGAATTGCAGGCACTTCAAGAAAGTAATATGATACTTTTCTTGAAAGCACTATGTCCAGACGCATTTCGATGGTCATTTCAATTCCCATTTGTTAGATTATACAATTGACCTATTGTTACGTACCCAATCAGCAACGTTAAAGTCCATTTGTTAGATTATACAATAGACCTATTGTCACGTACCCAATCATCAACGTTAAAGTCCATTTGTTAGATTATACAATTGACCTATTGTTACGTACCCAATCAGCAACGTTAGAGTAATTCTCTAAGTCGTTTCAATCATAAACAAACTTTCTCTATCGCAGAGTCTATTGTTTACAAAGTGTGGCAAAGAATGGAAATTATTACACTCTTGAAATAAAAAAAGGTATCAGAATTGCCATTAGAGCTCTATTAGGGCCCTGGTTACAATATTCAAGAAAAAACCTCCAACTATTTCAATTTTGAAGAAAGGCAATCACTTCAATAAAGCTACATTTCCAATTTCCATCAGGCTAATACAGCAGGGTCCATCATTTCCTTGTATGCTTGCATTAGTTTAAACTTGATTTTGTACTTTATTCTCGACTGAATCAAAGTGTATATTGATTTCATCTTTAGAAATTAACAAAGAAGTACGAAACTGACAGAGAGCGTTTTGCTGTGCTTCAAGCGTTCGTCGAAATTGAAAAAGCTGAAGGGACAACAAAGGCTAAAAATTCAGCGACAGATGCTCTTCTTTGGCTTAAAAGGTGCGTTCCTATTTGCATATAAATTTAATCATCGTAAGATTGAGACTTTAATGGCCTTTTTCTGTTTGACAACTGCGAGACAGCTGTGTTGCAGGCATAGGAGTCTGGATCGAGCGTAGAGATAGTGACGTGAGGGTCATTTGTAGTATTGACATAACAGTCAACCTCCCTCAAATCGAAGAAAAGCTCCCTAATTTGACATTAGTCGAATGCTATTAAGTCGAATATATAGTGCTTGTCTCTACTGAATCTGCTCGCGCGAAGCTTTCTTTATCCTCTGTTGGTTGTATGTATTCAGTTGAGTAAACGTAGAACAGAAAAGAAATTAGGCTAAAAGAATTGAATAAGGAATCGTTGCTTTTTAAACTTTGAAATTACTTATTACAGTGTTTTCCTTCAGGCTTTATAGCTATTCTCCAGCTTCCAATTTGACTGTAAGGATGAATTTGATTTCCGGCATGACCAAAAATGCAAAATCATTTAAATGCCAACATCGATTTCGACTCCCATTTTCTATGACGAAACCAAAGTTTTGCATCGCATTGTAGCACTTGGATTTCAGTCGACCAAAACTAACAGTGATAATGCTAAACATTTAATTGAACTTTACTTTTTTGTTTTAACAATCACATGCTTTTCAAATCACTGTTTTCAATTTCATTTGAATGAGTTTCAGTCCTTATATTGCAAATTTTAAATATATCAGCGAACTTCGAACCAAAAGCTACGAAATCGTCGTCCATATTGTTTGAGAATCTAATTTAAGTGAAAGTGCCCCATTCTTTGTTTAAATGACTCCAGTGATATTTGATCTCGTTTTCACCTCACAGATCTCTTGAGTTCATCGGTGTATTCCTCGCTGACGTTCTAACTGGCCAGCCGGACTTGTCGAAGTGCGCCAAGAAGGCTTATGAAGCTTCCCTGAAAAAATATCATGGCTGGATGGTTCAAGGGATTTTTTCTGTATGTATTTAGTTTTATTTCAATTGTATTAATATCCACTTGAAAATGGCTTGAATGATTCCTCGCACACCTAATTCATTCACAGCCCAGATCTTCCTAGAGGGAGAGACCAGTTCAAGACCTTGGGCCGAAGAAATTGTTGCTGGCAACTTTGATTTTAGTTTGTCAAAAACGATGCAGAATGGTACTGTTCGAACAGCAGTCGTAGGAATTTATTTGTCGATTTTATTTATGCGGATGTATCTCTGAGTGTTACCAAATTTTTAATTTGCATTGTTCTGCACGACTATTGTGTTTATTTTGACTAAGAAGTTTTGATTGTTCCTTTGCCTGCACCATTGATTTGGTAGGGAAGGTATTTGTATTTGTTGCTACCTAGCAACGGAATGCAGTTTATAGGACACTAAGAAGCTGTGCCTATCGAGCAGTGTCTTTGTCCTTCCTTTCAATGTGACCACACCTCATGACACCTGGAATTGCGGAGAGCTGGTGACTCCCTTTACTTTAAGTGGAAGTTTTGTCATTTCAAGGACTCGAACCCCCGACCCTTGGATCTGTGGTTCGCTGTCCAAACTAATGAACCATCCTCCCAGCTTAGGCCAGGTTGTATTCACCTCTTGATAGCAAAAATTGAAAATCAGTAGTTTTTTACTAAGATTTTTTTTTATATTTACGTCAAGTAGAACTCCATTGTTTTAAACTAATCGAAATATCATGTTTTCATGTCAACTTATGTTAACCTTATAATAATTAAACGAAGTTCTTAGTAGAAATTATTACACCGAACTTATCATGGTACTCGCGACTGGGTGGGTATTTGCTTATCGTATGTGTAACATGAACCGGCACAAACTACTCCCTTAGAAACTACTAGCAGTTGCTAACCGCTAGAGCCTGGGTGTGCTCGTGTTTTGCCGACATCGCTGAAACGTGATATCAACACGATCATGCTCCGAGCAAAGCTTCCGCATTGGAAAGAAAAATATGTATAAAAACTTCCGCGGCATCACAATCAATGAAATGCACAGACAAAGGAAGTACACAATTTGCAACTTAATACCATGATAAACAAGTAATTCCGCTTCTTTGTCGAGCTCAATATGAAAATTATTCGGTGTCGTTGCCTAAGCATGTGTTTAATATTCAAGTACAAAGGAAGTTGCTGTTGTAGATGTATGATGCCGTATGCGAAATTACAGCAATCGCATTTTAAAAAACTACTTAGACATGGTTCTGAAAAAAGCAAACATTTTTAAACATGTTACTAAAGCTTGTCGTCTGACACTCTTCAGAGTATAAAACGTCAGAACATAGATCGAAAACTCTACGCTAGAATGTATAGGGGTAGTTGTGGATTGGTGGATAGTAAAAAACAGCATGTCCCTTCTAGCATTAGAAACAAAACATTCTCCAAAAAAGAACAGCCTCCTCGGTCTTGCCGATCAAAAATGACAACCAAAACAATAGTTTTGGAATCTATCTACATAAACATAAACAAGTCACTTTTGTATAGACAAAAGGAATTCGTTTTCACCTCATTGGTAACATTTCCAAAAGGCAAGCGGCACTGATTGGGCAACCTCAACAGTCATGTTTTTACTACTTAGATAGATAAACAATCATGTGGAATATACTGTCTCTTATTTTGAACATAAAGTGTTATATTTTTGTTTAAGAAAATTTTTTAATATTTTTTAAATGAATTTTGAATCATTTTTGTTTTAGCTTGCCATGAAAGCGGTACCTTACAGAGAAAACTTCATTGCTGCGTTGGCAAATGGGGCTTCTGAGGAGGAGGTTTTGAAGGATATGCAAGTGCATGTTCAATTGATGGGTAAGAATATTGAAGTTATCAACGACTTCTATGCAAAAATGGGAGAAGACAAGCATGATAAGGTCTAAATAATGTATATTTGACATTTTTAAATATGAATGTTAAATGAATTAGAATTTTTTCATTTTGGTATAATTTTTTAATCGTATTACTAGTTATGCTTACGTGTCAATCTTGATGAGCTGCCTTGCGAACATACAGTGACAATGAAGGATTCTTATTGAGTGCTAATGCATATTCATGTTTTAACCGTAAATCACAGTAAATCATAGGCTCTGTTGATGCTGCCCTCTCCGAAATTTTACAATGCCAAAAAATGGCCAGTATCTGCAATTAACTATTCGGAAAGATCCATTTGTTTGATAATTTTTGCTGATTAACTTTCTGGCTTATTTATTAGTTGTTTAACTTTTTGAAATATTTATGAAATTGAAAACTTTAGGTATGAGGAAAAAACAAGCTTCCTTGATAATTATTTGCGACCCTGAAATTTACCAGTGTCTGTTTAGGCCAATTATCACAAAAACAATGTTATTACAGAGTCACATTTTCTCTACATTTGCTGTGCGAATTATTATTATTTTCTATATTATTTCTCTCATAAACCTTCTTTGTGTTGAATATTCATGATTCAACTTATGTTATGTCTTGTAATCGTGTGCGATTTGAGTACATACTCAAAATGCGTTTTTTAATCGTATCTGACGCAAAATATGTCCAACTAAAAGTTGTTGTTATCAGATTGTTACATAATTTCTTCAAGCGCCGTGAAAGGCATGAAAGGCGATCTAGAGTATTACTGACTCAATAAATCTTATTTATTACTGAGTGTTGTAATTTTATCCAAAGTTTTATTTTGGGTATGAAAATACAATAAATCGTATGATAACGGCGTAGCGGAGAATTTTAGTCTGTAACGGAGCTTAATTCAATTGTAGAAAGTTTTCTTGATGAAAACAAATAATTTGATAAATTGAATCTTATCATAAAATCGCAGACTATCTTGTGATTGACATATTTTCTGTCCCGTCTTCAGCAGATCTATTAACCATTAAACATAATTATCAAGGTTGCTAATTATTCTCAGTAGTCTTTGGTGTATGCAACTAGTAATCCTTTGATTATAAGTTTTGCAGTAAAGTTATGCTGTTTCATGTTTTATCTATTCCAACCGGATAAATTTGATAGCAGAAGGCCGTAATTATATCGAGAAACGTATTAACAAAACAGAATGGATGATTCCCGAAGAAAGAAAAATGTCCCCAAAATTTTTGTGCTTGAAACCTGCCCTCCTTCGTGACGGTTAGAGTCTGCACGCAGGCTATATATAAACTTTTCATATAAAAAAATTTCTTTCACTAGTTTCTAAACATATTTCTAAGACTAATTCATGGAGACCTGGACTATGTTTCCAGAAAAACTAATCTCAAATGTCCCTTGATTGAAATGCAAACAGAAACATTTAACACAAGAAATGCAATTCACACAACACGCGATGTTCGATTGACAACACGTGGCACGTGGTCAACTCTTGTCTGGAATCTAATCACGACATCACGACATAAACATAGGCTAGCATGCAGGTAATTCAGGTGAAGGTAGGTGTGTTAGCGATCCAAGGAGCGTTTTCAGAGCATAAAACATGCCTGATAAAAGCAAGTAAACAGATTGGAAATGATACAAAGACATCTAATGATCGTCAGTTGAATGTAGAGGTAGTTGAGGTTAGGACCGCCAGTGATATGGATGGCCTAAATGGCCTAATCATACCTGGCGGTGAAAGCACTGTTATTAGCAGATCATTCGAGAAGAATGGATTTGGAGATGCTGTTAGAGGATGGATAAAAGAACAAGGAAGCCCAGTCGTCTGGGGTACATGTGCAGGCATGATTATGCTTTCAAACAATATAGAAAACAGCAAAATCGGTGGACAGACCCTAGTAAGTTAACATACTCCTCTTTTGAAGTTATGTAACACAGTATGGTCATGATGCTTTTGTTTCTACAAGCTATTTTCTATTCAACATGTACCCAAACATATGACCTGCTTCAGTTCCGATGCATATATGATTATCAGACAACATTTTTAAACTTTTAGCAAAGTCATGCTTAAAATGTTTATTTTTTATGCATACTAAAAATGTTTATTTTATGCATACTCTCCAATATGGAAAAGAATGAAGGAAGAGTCAATGAAGCTGACCATTGGTTCCCTTATGTATTTAAGACCCTGTAGTGTCAATAAGTGTATTAAAGCATATTCCATTATGCAACCTCCACCAGTGGTCGATTTATTCATTTAACTTTGATACTGTATGAATCCTTTCAAGGTCTAAATGTTATAAGTAAAGTTAATCAATGTAAGTAGAGTTAGCTTAATTAAGTTAAACACAAAGCAAAGTCTGCTAGTTAGCTAAAGGCCACTGTACTGACTTTCCTCGATATTCCCTGTTGCTATGCTCAGGGCATATAGCCGGCTAATTTTTTTCTGATAGTTGATAGAAGATATAATCCATTTTGAAAACATTTTTTAAAGATGGCTTTTTGTGTTGCATTAAGAAGCTTTCACACAAAACCGTGACATCAGTTTGATTTACCATAGATCCCCTATTTGGTACTTTATTTTTTTGATGGTTCCATACATATTTTTTGACACAGTAACGTGACTACATGCTTAACATGTAGCAGCTGCCTGAAATATATTTTTAAATTTTCAAAGCAAGTTTTATGATACAGATGTCTTTTAAAAGTGGACATTTTTGGAGTCAGTCTCCTGACTGAATACCTTTCCTGTGTCATTCTAGCCAGTGCTTTTTCCTAACTGATATTTCATATAATGTTTATAAATGAAGATTTTGTTGTTATATCAAGACTGTGCTTTGATGTGTATAACAAGATAATTCATGTTGCAACTCAGAGTTTCATCTTAATGCAATCAGCAAATACCTCTTATAATGTGAGTATGAATTTTATTCATGAATAAATGTATAAAAATAAAATTGATTTCTTCTTAACAGCTTGGGGGATTAGACATTGAAGTTTGCAGGAACTTCTTTGGAAGACAAATCAATAGCTTTGAGGCAGCTGTTGCTATGAAAAGTCAGAATCTTTCCATGATTGGGAATGAGTCGGATGCAGAACCATATCATGGTGTTTTTATAAGAGCGCCAGCTGTGATATCAACCAAAAATACTGGCGTAGAAGTACTTGGAACCGTCACTCATGAGAAGAGTGGCCAACAGGAAGTTATTGTAGCAGTGAAGCAAAACAACATAATGGCAACAGCTTTTCACCCAGAGTTGACTGATGATTTAAGATGGCATAGATATTTTCTGGAACTTGTAATTAAAAATATATTGTCTAAAGGATTTGTCTAGTCAACAAAATGTACTCTGTGTCCAATATAGATTACTTTGTCGTATATGGTTTGTATTTCAATTCTTAGTATAGCAAGTGCAAAATGTAAACTTTTAGTTATTTATTTGTTTCTTAATTTTTAGAATGCATACATTAAGTTATATGTAAACTTCAAATGGGTTTTCTATGATGTTGAATACATTTTGGCCTAATGCATTCATGGATTGTTTTATTTTAAGATCCTTGCCCTTCAATTTTAAATTCTTTTTCTACTTGTTTTTACTTTGCATTGAATCTGGGAAGGAGCATGAATTTTTCTATAAATAGGATTATCTGCATTTCTCTTTGAAATTTTTTCATCATGTCAGAAACAAGGTGCTGAATAGAGTTCTGCCTCAGGCTACTTTTGCCAACCTGTTTGAATGCCATAGCCTTATTTTCGGTGAGGTTAAGATAATTTTAATTTTTTAAAGTTAGTCACAACATATTTCAGTCACTTTTTACAAAAAAGCAACATTTCAAAGATAGCATTTTACAGGAAAATTATTTTTTAAGAATTCTCGGAATATCTTGGAGGGATGGGAAATCAAATGAATTTGTTAGAGGTGAAACTCAATGACAATATGGCAAAGTTGAAAGCCTTCTGGACATTGTAATAACACGGAATCTTCAATGGTTTGGATAGGAAACAAGAAGCCATCTGTAATTCCATTTTGCACAAGCAAGTAGAAGGAAGCAGGAAAGTGGGAAAACCCCAGAGAATGTGGAGCGATAATATCAGTCAATGGACTGGTTGCAGAATTGAGAACTGAAGACTGGATGAGATGGGTGCACCAACGGCTATGGTCATGATAATGATGGTAAAGATTTTATGGAAAACTGGAGTTATCCATTAAAAGTGCTATGCTGTCCTTGCAATCAGAAATTCTTTTTGGAGAGAGTTTGAAGCTATTTTTTCAATTTGGAATTGTTTATTGAGGTTTTTATCTCTTCTCTGTCATTATGTTTTTAATTTTTTTATTAGCCGGAAATAATTTTCAATTAGAAAAACGCCTCCTTCAAAAAGGTTGATAGAGAAACTTTCTATTTAAATTACATTTTTCTAGTGAAGAAAGAACCCCCTTCCGACCAGTTATTAAAAATGTTCAGACTACGGCAAAAACCTCTCCACTTTAAACTCAACTTTTGCCCAGCTTAAGAAAAGTTTGATTACTTTTTGAAAGATTGTGGCCTTAATTTTTCATCCAACACATTTAATGCAATTCCTGATGTTAGACGATGAATTTTGATTGAATCAAAACTTGGTAATTTCAATCATAGTCAAAATTCCAAGATTAAAGCCACACTTCGATAAGCTCATAATTTCAACTGTAATTTCGAAGGTAACCTTCCTTTATTCCTTGCCAATCATCCCAATCAATTTAGACAACATTTTGCATAGTCATCACTTTGGAATCTGTTCAAATTTTGTAATAAACCCTAAAAAGTCAAGTTTTGCAATTATAAATCCTTACTTGTTGATCGAATAAAACAAAGGGAATTCAGCCAGGTTCGTCAAGATTATGTACATAAATACTGCACGATTCAATCGAAGATAATTTCATCTGATTATTGGATGCTTTTGCATCCAATAATCTTTCTGACAACTTAGCAGCTAGCGAGTTTTAGATACTTCCTATGATTGAAGCATTAACTTTAATGAAAAACCTGTTAATTTCAACCTCATTTTGCATGATGATAGCCTGTTTTCCAAATGAAAGCTTAAGTTGTTTTGACCCTCCTTTTTGACCAAATCAAAAGTATATAATATTAACCACTTTTGGCAAAACTTACATCCCTACATGAACTTTGCAACTTTTGCAAGGATGTACTCTTACTTTTTGCCACTTTGCCACTTAGAAATATAGGTATTTTCATACATATCATAGCTTTAAAATCTGACCAAGTTAACCCAACCTGATTTCTGAATTTTTATGACAGGCTATAGCCTTACCTTTTGACTATTAGAAAAAAATGTCCCCTATGTTAGTCAAAACCATCCAACGACGTAGCTGTAGATTTCGGCTAGGGCGGGCAAACTCGAGCAAGAACCATACCTGAGGGGGACAGGCTTTCAACAAAAAATGAATGAATAACAAACATATATATTTGGACTAAATCACGCTTACAAAGCAACTTCGAGTCAAAAACAGAAGAATGAATCAATTACAAAATGTCAAAAAAGCAAACTGCAAGTTTTTCGTAGCCACTCAGTTGAAAATTCCTTAAAAGATGTAGCTCGTGATTTTTTGTCGAAAAAAGGTGAGTCAAGGCACCCTAATGAAAAGGTGTGCTAAACCAATAAATTTAATTTCAGGCTGGTTGTTCTTAGTTTTTTCAAAAATTTGAGGCTGAATTGTTCTTAATTTGTTCTTAGATTAATAGGGTGTAAGCAGTGCCGTTGTCAGCTTTCTCGCTCTATGGAGGTGTTCAGGACTCATTTGCAAACAAAGTGAGTGAGACAACATTTTTATTTGCTGAAAAGTTTGAATATTCACCAAAAAAGCACCTAAACATGGCTAAAAGTCCTCGTTTTTTAGATTAAATGTTGTTAAAAAATGGAATTTACAGTAGCTCAGCCTCAGCACCTTCTTAATTTGTTCTTAACTTTTGGCCAATTTTAAGGCTCGTGTTCTTATAAAATTGTTCTTATAGAAAAAGAGTGCACGTCGCCTTCTTGGGGCATCAATGTACGTCATAAATGAAAAAGGCATCCACCCCTTGCCAAAGCATAATCACTCGTCTTTGCGATTTTGTATATCATAATCAAAGCTGGAGCACGAGCAGCGACTTCATTATTCTCCAGCAAAAACCTATTTCCAATGTAGTTGGTCTGCTTGCACTTGCATTGGCTCTACATGCCACCTATCTCTATTCTGTGACGCCACATTTGATTGTTTCAAGATATGGAATATTTTGAAATTAAACAGGTTTAATTTTGGTTACTTTTCAGAAATGAAGTGTCCCCTCTCGCAAAAGCAACAATCTAGCGGAATTTTAATTATGCCAAAGTATCATTTGGAAAAACTGTAGCCAAAGGGGGCAAGTTGTTGTCAAAATTTTCATTTGGGCGCACAGCCAACCCCCCCCCCCGTACCCCCTGCAGTTACGTGGCTGATACTATCACTTTAAATTATAACTGAGTAATGGCTATGTTACTTAGGCAATCTTTTTCCCACTTCTTGACCATCTGAAAACTGTTTAAATTCTCCGAAAGGCTTCCTATTTTCTGCAACTTTTTGCAAGGTTATAACCTAAGTCTTCGACCACTTTGAAACTCCTTGCTTTCTGCTTACCTTTCTAGATTACACTATTGCTTTTCAACCAACTAAAATATTTGTATTATTTTCAGCTTTTTGTAAGGTGATAGCCTTACTTTTCAACCAAAGAATACTTTGTATTTTCTGCTCAATTTTTTAAGGTTATGGCCTTACTTTTTTACCAAATGAAAATTTTGTATTTTCTGCTCATTTTTGAAGGTTGTAACCTTACTTTTCTGCAAAATTAAAGCTTTTTAGATTCTACAAATTTTTTGAGGTAATAGCCTTACTATTTTACCAAATTGAAACTCTTTATTTTCTGCTCATTTTCTCAAGATTATAGCCTTATTTTTTCTCAAATTAAAACTTTTCATTTTCTGCTCATTTTCTCAAGGTTATAGCCTTACTTTTTCTCAAATTAAAACTTTTCATTTTCTGCTCATTTTTCTAAGGTTATGGCCTTACTTTTTCTCAAATTAAAACTTTTCAATTTCTGCTCATTTTCTCAAGGTATGGCCTTACTTTTTCTCAAATGAAAACTTTTCATTTTCTGCTCATTTTCTCAAGGTTATAGCCTTACTCTTTCACAAAATAAAAAGCTTTTTATTTTATGCTCATTTTGTCAAGGTTATAGCCTTACTTTTTTCTCAAATTAAAACTTTTCATTTTCTGCTCATTTTCTCAAGGTTATAGCCTTACTTTTTCTCAAATTAAAACTTTTTATTTTCTGCTCATTTTTTGAAGGTTATAGCCTTACTTTTTTCTCAAATTAAAACTTTTCATTTTCTGCTCATTTTTTGAAAGTTATAGCCTTACTTTTTCTCAAATTAAAACTTTTCATTTTCTGCTCATTTCTCAAGGTTATAGCCTTACTTTTTCTCAAATTAAAACTTTTCATTTTCTGCTCATTTTCTCAAGGTTATAGCCTTACTCTTTTACCAAATAAAAAGCTTTTTATTTTATGCTCATTTTTTGAAGGTTATAGCCTTCCTTTTTCTCAAATAAAAGCTTTTTATTTTATGCTCATTTGTTGAAGGTTATAGCCTTACTTTTTTCTCAAATTAAAATTTTTCATTTTCTGCTCATTCTCTCAAGGTTATGGCCTTAATTTTTCTCAAATTAAAACTTTTCATTTTCTGCTCATTTTCTCAAGGTTATGGCCTTACTTTTTCAGAAGAAAACTTTTCATTTTCTGCTCATTTTCTCAAGGTTATAGCCTTACTCTTTTACCAAAAAAAGCTTTTTATTTTATGCTCATTTTTTGAAGGTTATTGCCTTACTTTTTCTCAAATAAAAGCTTTTTATTTTATTCTCATTTTCTCAAGATTATAGCCTTACTTTTTTTCAAATTAAAACTTTTCATTTTCTGCTCATTTTCTCAAGGTTATAGCCTTACTTTTTCCCAATAAAAGCTTTTTGTTTTATGCTCATCTTCTCAAGATTATAGCCTTACTTTTTTTCAAATTAAAACTTTTTATTTTCTGCTCATTTTCTCAAAGTTATAGCCTTACTTTTTCTCAAATTAAAACTTTTCATTTTCTGCTCATTTTCTCAAGGTTATAGCCTTACTTTTTCTCAAATTAAAACTTTTTATTTTCTGCTCATTTTCTCAAGGTTATAGCCTTACTTTTTTTTCAAATGAAAACTTTTCATTTTCTGCTCATTTTGTCAAGGTTATAGCCTTACTTTTTCTCAAATTAAAACTTTTTATTTTCTGCTCATTTTCGCAAGGTTAAAGCCTTACTTTTTCTCAAATTAAAACTTTTCATTTTGTTCTCATTTTTTGAAGGTTATAGCCTTACTTTTTCTCAAATTAAAACTTTTCATTTTCTGCTCATTTTTTGAAGGTTATAGCTTTACTCTTTTACCAAATAAAAGCTTTTTATTTTATGCTCATTTTCTCAGGGTTATAGCCTT